AGTGTTAAATGTCCAATTTCTTCCATTCTGAGATTCTGAACATAGTGAATGATTGAATCTGACAAACTGCAATGATATGAGTTTATTTCCATTTTTGAAACTTTATTACACAATACACGATAACAAGTTTACCATCATTTTTACAAAATCAACTAACAATGTTGTAAAGATGCAGGAAATGTCAAACAAAAACTTTTACGTATCTTATTAGTTTAATAATGAGACTGTTCACATGCCTAAGAATTGAATCTGAGGAAATGTGAAAAATATGCTGAAAAGTGAAAAAACAGCATAACTTCTACAATAATGGCCCGATCATGCTGATTTTCGAACTTGACCTGCGTTTTATGAATATTCATCAGCTCTGTAAATATAAAGCCAAAAAGTAAAACTGCCCTCCACTTATCGTGTTTACAAGGAAAGTGCACGGCGCCGGCATCGGCATCGCCATCGTCATCGGCATCGGCGACGACAGACGCAGGTGATGGCAATATGTACAGACACATCTGTGTCTGTACATAAAAATGGGAAAACATTTATTTATCATTAAATCTATCACTTAATTTATTCCCAATTTTCTGATAAAACACTTAAACAGAAATGTCACTTTTGAGTAAAACACACACACACACACACACACACACACACACACACACACACACACATTAGACCATATTAAGGGATATCACTCGATTTAAACAAACTGTAAATTTGCAATTTCCACACTTATTTTTAACTTACCACTTGTACTTGGTGTTTTGATATCTGTTATCCACCTGTTGAAATACACTGGTATATCCTTCATTTTCTCCCATAGGTCTTTCCCTTCAGTGCTTTCAATAAAGAATGCATCAATTAGCTGATTTAATTTTCATACTAAATTTGAGCAATCAATGTATCATTCCATGGGGAAATCACAGCCCTAAGCTCTTTTTGTAAGGTTATCATGACAACGAGTTGAATTAAAAATTTTCAAACACTTATGGCTAAAAGACTTACAAATAGCTAAGAATGATTGCACTAAAATGGGATTTGATTGTAATTTTTTAAACTTAACCTTTTTTATTCATTAAAAATATTGTATCCAGCCATATTTTTCGGTTTAATTTCCATCTGCTTGGCCATTGATCTCTCTCGATCTTGGGCCACCATGCATAATCTAGGTGGTACTACTGTATATGTTAAAATGCCCTAAATTGGTCAAAATAGCTCCTATCCTATTACTTTTATGTCAAATATTTATCTAAATATTAGTATGATGAAATTAACCACTTTCTTTTTTTGTTGTTTTATTACCTAACAAGTCATCATCAAAGAAATTAAACTTCACCTGCAGAGGTAATTCAGTTGTGTATCTTCATGTACTGAAGCACCTTAAAGCATAATGTTTTTGCAACCAAAGTGGTTTAAATATTTATGAAAACTAATTAATCAATTGATTAACTTCTTAATAAATAATTCGTTATAATGAAAACTGAGCGACTTTTGCAGAGGACTTTTCTCTCTGAGCACTTTTCTAGTTACTACTGATATGTAGAGAATAGCATTTACCTATTTGTTTTATTTTTCTTTTCATTTACATCTACACTAGGTATTGGTTTTTGTGCCGTTTGTTCTGCAAAACAAAGAAGAAATTCAGATTCAGACCATTGTTTATGAAGGCAACAGGTAAATAAGGTATAGTTGCAAAGCATACTGGATTTTTTAAACATTGCTATTTGATTTTAAATTAACATTAAAATGTTTATTTCTTTTTAAAAATTTAATATTATTAAACATGATCTTTACTTTTCATGCCTGGTATCTTAGCAGTTACTCTCTCTTCCTTAATATTTCCTTTTTTCTTTTCATTCCCAGCTTTGGTTTTGTTTGTTGTCGTTACAGTAGGATTTTCTCCTGCTTCTGAAATGGTATTAACAAATTATCAATCAAATGATTGAAAAACTGCTCAATTTTCAGTAATTAAAATCCAGAGGTTCTCACTTAGAATTATGATCAAACATCAATAAAGCAAAATAGAATAAATGAAAATAGATAATAATATAATAATAATGAAAGTATGAAACATCAATGTTCTTTTGCTAGTGTTGAACAGTAATTAAAAAGCAATGAGCAAGGAAACTTACTTTGAATATTATACATATTCTAAGGAATTCTGCTACATCAGAACTGAAAACAGATTAGCCTGTTTGTAATATGAGAAATTGGTTTTAAATTCAGTTAACCCTTATCATATTACAAAAACCCACCAGGATGTTTAGCTCTTCTTTTTTCCTTCTTTTTTTTGTTCTCATTTTTCTTTGTATCTTGACCCTTAATGTGGTGGGCTTTTTGATCTTTCTGTTCTTTGATTGTGTTCTGAGGTTTACTTATGGGCTGTGCACCTTAAAAATTGAATACTCATTCATTAATATGAAAAATTATTTTTTCTGCTTCTGAACGACTATAAAATTTTCACAAGTTTTCATTTAATAATCCAAAAAAGTTAAAATATGATAACTCATTTAAAGAAATAATAATAAAAATAAATTCTTATTCATCAAACCATCACTTTGTCAATAAAATACAGAAACAGGAATATCTTTTTTGAAAAAAAAAAAAAAAAAAAAACAGACCAATTTTCACATCTTTTTTTACAAACCATTTGTATCATGTATCTTGGCATCTGTTATCTGCCTTTTGACATGATTCTCTCCTGGTTTTTCTTTCATTTTCTTCTTTAGGCCTTTTTCTTCAACACTTCAATAAGAAATGCATCAGGAACTTCATTTAATCATAAATTTGAGCAATTAAAATATCATCCAATGGGGAAAATCAGTGTCTATCAGCTCTATCAGGTTATTATGACAATGGGTTGAATTCTTAGTTTCCAAGTTCTTCTTGCATGGGGCTTTATATCAACAAAAAATAAGTTCAGTAATTTAAAATAGGTTTGAACATCTTTAGAATTTAACCTTCTTCATTTATTTAAAAGACTGTAGCTTGACAAATTTTCTGGATCAATTTTTAAACTTTCTGTTTAGCAAACTGTCACCACTATAGGCCAACATACATAAATTTGAGTTAAAGTGTTTTGTTTTTGCAACCAATGCAGCTTAAATGTTTTATATAGCATTAGTAAGGTTTACTGCATTAATAACCACTTACTTCATTCTAATTAACAAAAATGCTTTTAACCATGATCACATATGACATCAATAAACAAAATAATGCCTAAACTGTTTGATAATGGTTATCAATAGAGTATATAAATATACTATATACATGTCTGACATCTATTATTACCGATTTGTAGAGAATAGCATTTACCTTTTTCCTCTATTTTTCTTTTGCTCTTCATTTTTCACATCTATGTCATGTATTGGTTTTTGTGTCTGTTCTGCAATACAGACAAGAAATTGAGACCATTGTTTGTAAAGGCATTAGGCAGATATGGTATAGTTGCAAAGCATAGGTATTTCTTCTAAACATTGCTGCTATTTTTAACATTAAATTTTGATTCATATCTACTTTGTATATGTATGTTTGTTAACATTGTCACAGTGGGTTTTCCTCTGTTTCTGGAATAGTACAAATAAAATCCAGTAATTCAAAGACTGTTAAAATTTTAATTATTCATACCCAGAGATTATTATGTATATGTTGAGACAGAAAAAATGGAATAAGATAAAAAATTAATAAATAAAATTATAATTATATCAAAGAAAATTAGTTAGCCATTGGGCAACATATCTTATTTCTTTTTTGTGTTGAACAGACCTAAGTAAAAGAGACAAGCAAGGAAACTTTTCTTGAATGTTATAATGTACTAGAAAATTTTGGTACAATGGAATGGAAAACAGGATAACATTTTGCAATATGAGAAGTTGGCTATAAACAGAATTGACTATTCTCTATATTATAAAAACCTACCTTTTTTAATGCCAGGATGATTATCTCTTCCCTTTTCTTGATTCTTTTTATTTTCTCTTTCATTTTTCTTTGCATTATGCCCCTTTATGTGGTGGACTTTTTTATTTTTCTGTTCTTTGATTGTATTCTGGGGTTTACTTATGGACTGCACATCTTGAAATTTGAATACACTTTCATTAAAGTGATAAATTGTTCTTTATTGCTTATTTATGATAACAAAAAATAACATTTTAGTCAGGTGTTTTCTCTAATAACCTATTGTCTTATGAAATGAATTTTAATTGTGCTAAGATCACTAAAACACCAGTAATTGCACTACATCACTTTCAATATCGAGCATGGAACAAGTCCTAACAATGCTGAATTTCATAGCAATCACACCGATTTAAATTGTTTTCTAAAATGCCAACTTGTATTTTTGTGATCAATGAAATTCGGTTTATGGTGACCAATATTTTAGTAACAAGATATATCCCAGAGTGTGTACATTTCTCAGATTCAAGATAACTAACCTGTATTTGCTGCCCTCTTTCGTCCTTTCTTTCCCTGAACATCTTCAACATAAACAGCAACCATCAAAACAACCAACACCACAAAAAATGCTAACTTATTAGGTAATGCCATCTTACTTCTGATTTAACCTGAAAGACACATCTTCAAAACGTGTGAATACAGTAATAACTTAGTTTTTTTGAAAGGGCAAAAATTATCAAAATTTCTAATTACATAATTTTATGATCACAAAAACATATATTTCTACAGAGCATTTGGGGTGCTTTTACTGCATAGAATAGAACAACAGAGTAGCCTGCATGTTAATTTTGTTGCTACCAGTGCCACTCAATAGGAATGACTTAAAAATACAGGATCTGTAAAATTCACAATTTTTCTCATATCAAAATGATCGCATTTACCAAATTCCCTCCAGTCACGAGCTAAAGGGGATTTTTAAAATGATGCTGTCATGCACATTCTAGAGAGATAATATTTTGAGATAACCCCAGCATTAATGGCAAAGTCCGCTTACTGGTGATATTATCAGCTAGCTGGTACATATATAGCCAGGTGCTAAAAGTGATAAGGAGACCAACATCTACGTGAGTGTTTGTACCTGTGTGTGTGTGTGTGTGTGTGTGTGTGTTGGAGTGGAGGGGGGAGGGGAAGGGGTGTCTGGATCATTTCCACATTTTTCATCTAAATCTGGGAAAATCTGGGGAAATTTAAGACCAGTCTTGAAACCTACACATAAAGATCAAGTCATGACCATAATGCAGATGTGCAAACCCCCTTCACACTGGATGGCATTCTTTCTGCACCTGTAGTACAGCCCCGTTTTCAAGTTAATCAATTATACTTTACATGCTGACAACTGGCCGATCATTCAGCATTCATTCTGCAACCAAAGCAATATGCTTATGTATCCTTTGTATGACCACAGTGATGCTAGTTTCATGGTCGCACAAAGGACGCAGAAAGGATGCTGTTCAGTATTAAGGGGGCTTCAGTTCCCTAATATTACAAAAATTATCTTGTTTTCTGGTACATGCATCAACAACTTTATTTGTATCCATGCAGCACAATTAAGGCAGCAAATATTTGACTTGACAACTTGCTTACAATTGTTTAGAAATATTTGAACATGAGATACGTTATCAGGCTATCTGGCAAAGGCAGTAGTCTTATGGCATTTATGGGCACATTAGTCAATATCACTTTCCGACACAAACTTTTGAGGCACAAAGTATTTGGAAGCAAGATACACCTAAAATGAGCCTTGCTAGCAGAAACACTCATAGTTTTTGGCACAAAAAATGACCGATCATTTGCTGACATAATGATTGAATATGGCAGGGATCTATTCATGGTCTTCAGTTCCAAGTCCTGGAAGACAGGAATTTTTGTAAGAACTTCCAGGCTGTCTGGATTTATAACATACACAAAAACGTCAACTCCATGCCCAGCACACAACAACCATGTGGTGACAACAGCAACTTCTCCACTTGGACTAAAATTCAGATCACTTGTTAACCATTGAGACTGTTTGTCAATATCCACACTGATAGCACTGCAGTTTATAACTTTGTGGTCAGATAGATTGTAAGTAGTCAGTTTGAATTTATAACCATACTCATCCACTAACACAAAAAGTAAGTTTGATCTTGATCTGGGATCAAAAGCTAGCATCTGCCTTCTTCTATCCCTTAAACAGCCATCATCTGGATCTGTAATAACAAGTGCAGGTGTCACCTCATTTAAAGCGCCTGGTTTCGGACTGGTCCTGATGTCACGTTTCCAAAGATCAGCCAATAATATTTTGGACCAATGCTTTGGGGTTCTAATGCCCTGGGGAAGCCTGAACAGTGCAGTTGATTGTTCCGGGTTGATATGACATTCTACAGCATCACCCTTGCAAATGTCTCTGTTGAAATAATGCACATTGTCCTGAAACGGTCGACAAGTGCCTGCTGCAGTGTCAACCAACAAAAATTGGATATGTTTACATTTTACAGTCATATACTGAATAGCCAAAAGATTATCTCTGCTTCCTATACATACCAATTTGTCAAGACAACGATCACTTGCACCTAAAGGTGGCAAAGGAAATAGAAAGGTATTTTTAATTTCGCCAAGGTCTGCAGCTACTGTGATTAGTGACTCTTGAGTACACCACCTAAAAGGAGCAGGTGATAAATACTCTGTGACTTTGAACTTTTCTTGTTGTACCAGTTCTACATGGAAGATCCTCCCCTGCAGGCATGACAGAGGAACCTTGCAAACCCAGGACAGATGATGCTTTCCAGTATAGACACTCATTCTGTAAAACAACATGAGTACAGTGTACTATTTATATTAGACGTACGTATCCACAGCAGCAAAAGCCAGAGAGATGGATGCTGACATGCCTTATGAGCTGACCATCGCTGGAAGAGGATAATTAAGTATAGGTAATGCATGTAATTGATGTAAACAAAGCGTCATTCACATTCAAACAAATTTGGTTTTGAAGTTAAACGTACTGAGTTCCGTTATTACTATTTAAACATTACTTCTAATAATATCATTCGTTAAATATCTAAAGAAACTTGGGATATTTGAGAAAAAAAAGCAGGAGCCTCACCGTAGCAATACAGGAGTGCCGAACCGAAACTGTGTAGAAAATGTGTAGGAAATGCCCAGGGTTGGGGAAATCCCTTACCTGGTGTATGTTGTAACATAAGCCCAAAACTTTGTTTTGGTTGAGATAAAACACGCTTAGCAAATCATCTTCTCTAGATCACATACTGCTTAAATTTTGAAATATCAAAGGAAAATGATAATACTAAAGTCAGAAGAACTCTTATCCTATTTCACCGTACACAAAAGTATAAATTTGCGTCAGCTTTGGGTCAACAATAATGCCAACCTTGACCTAATTTTCGAAGCTGCACATGTTCATCTTTTGCTGTAAGGGGGCCGTAGCGATAGTCCGAAGGTTCAATAGTCCGAAGGTTCATTGGTCCGAATGTTCACTATAGAACCTTCGGACCAATGAACCCTTGATTAAAAAATCGATAAAAATGCTACCACTTTTCGGACCAATGAACCTTCGGACCAATGAACCTTCGGACTATCGAGACGCCCCCGCTGTAAGTCTGTGAGATGATATTTTGACGAATTTAACACACCTTGGACATTTAATTGTTAAAGATCTTTTAACTGTTCCGAACGGGATTATTTGAACTTGTTAATAACGGGCTCAAAAGGGGACTGGGCCCAGCTTTCACAGTTTTCCAGTGGCACACGTACCGTGTTAATATAGTGGCCCATTGACAGAGAAATTAAATACCCCTGCCTTGGTCTGCGGAGCTAGTTGGATAGGTGCAGCTTACTGGTGCGTACATACTTGTCCAATACTTTTTTAATGTCTTGGATCCAGTTAGCTTTGAATCAGATTGTCATATTGATGAAAAAGTGATCATTCTACCTCACCTGTAAATTAAAAACGGTGGTTAATATTTGCCTTTGGAATTGGAAGAGAAGTTGCAGGGATTATTTGCTCATGCATTGGAATGATTGTTAGCCTTTGAAAGGAGGTTGAGATTAAGATGATTGTCGATGTTTGAATAGTTATTGTGGAAAAATATAATGACCATTTGCGTAAATCTTAATCATCGAATAATTTCCAGTCATAATGGCAAGTGAAAAAGAATATTATGCAGTCGGAGACCATGAAGATCAGGATTGGGAAGAAGGCCTTGGTGATGATGATGCTTGGGAGGAATGCGATGATGAGTCACCTGTACCAGTTTTATGCCTATTTTGCCAGCAGACATTTCCAGCAGCAGAAAGTGTCTTTGAACACTGCAAAACATGTCATATGTTTGATATATTTCAACTTAGAAATACCCTGAATCTTGACTGCTTCAGTTACATAAAATTGGTCAACTTTATAAGATCACATGTAAGATTGATTGATATTCTATTTATTTATTTTTTTTGTGTTCTTTTCAAAGCTTGGAAGATATATATCAAATTTATGTGTTTCAACTATGCACTAGTAAAATTTTCTCTAGGTTGAGATGCAAAAATTGAGGAGTTTGTAACGGTGAAAATATTTCAGTATTTATAAACTTAGCAGATATGAAATCATAGCCTAACTAGTATACAGTTAGAACTAATTAACCCAAAAGTCTGTGTTATAGAAATGTTTGAGCAACACTGCCATGAAAAACTGTTGCTTTCATTTATTACCCAAAACAAATAATGTTAATTAAGTATCAACTTTTTCAGAAACCACTTCCTGGTGATATAACCACAATGTATATTTCTGGTCAGGCCTCCTGGAATGATGATGCCTATATGAAGCCAGTGCTGGATGAAGACCAGTTACTTCAGTATGGTAAGCCATGAATATTTTGATTGATACATTGTGTCGCCATCAGTTTGTGTCTAATTCAGCTTTTTTAAAGGGAAGCTGTATTTGGAATGACATTGGCAATAAAATATATTTTGCTGATTCAAGACCCTAGGACATTTCTTAACTGGACTCTTCCACTTCTTGCTGCACATGTACATCTTTGCCTACACTTATTTACGGTGGCAACAGGATGTTAAGAGTGTTGTCTTGAAAAAAAATGATGGTAGAATTCTGGCACTGTTTGAATTTATAACCTCCATATAACACTTTACCATGTGGTTGTCTTGTTTGCCCTTTGTAAGAGAGATGATATGTAAAAAACTGAACTGTATTAAGTTTATTTCATTCTTCATTATATTTAACAAATTCTTAACAATTCTACAGATATAGAAGACAGTGAGTGTCCTTGGGAAGAGCCTTCACTCCCAGAGATCTCAGGGGAGAAGGACAGCAATTCAGCAAAGCTTTTAATGGAGAAATTAAGGTGGAGAGAAGCCCAGGTAGAACAACTGGAGATAGATCTGCAACAGGCTGCAAAGACAGTAGAGAAAATGAGGTAAACTTTATCTTCATCTTTATCCTGAGTATTTATTGCAAGCAAATTTAACCAACTAGCATCTGCTTGGAACCAGTCCATAAGTGTTGTTTATGAAACAAATGTTAAGATAGAAAGTAATTATAGGATAGTTATAGGAGTACACTCTGATCTGGTACCTGTAACTGTGAATGAGTTTTACTTTATTCAATGAGTAAATATATCTTTTTTCTTATTAAAAGTTGAAGTTCATGGCTTATTTTAAGAAGATGCCCTTCCCCTCCTTCAAAAAAACTGAATATAAATAATTTTTTGTGATTATGGTAGCAACCAAAAGAAATAATGAGAGAAAAGTTTTCAGTCTTACATATCAAAATATTAAATAAAAGTTTTCATCTTACTATCCAGAAACTCTGCAAAAGAATTTCTTATATCAGCACCAGAAGTCCCAGTATCTCAGAATGCTATAGAAAGCTTACAGGAAGATGAAGATGAGGCTTATTTTTCTTCATATGGACACTTTAGTATTCACGAGGAAATGCTTAAGGTAAATACCTGGTATGACTATCCATATGTTCATATATATTTTTCACCATTCAAAATTTAAGAGAAAAGCAAGAACTTCTCCTTATAAAGTATTGAAAATTTACTTGGATTACATAGAAGTACACTTTTGCTTTTTCACAGTGATAAGTGCCAAAAATGAGACATTTTTCTTAAATGATTCAGGTCATTTGCCAGTAATTGTAAGGGGGGGGGGGTCTTTTTCTGAAAAAGTGGACCTTTTACCTTGAAACCTTCCTTTATCTTGATAAATTTTTACCTAGAGCAGACATTTTCCTGGCAAAAGGGCGGTTATTCCAAAGCTTCCCAACCCCCTTGTTACAGACCTCTGGTTTAAACATGCCTGTAAACTGTCTTGTTCCAAAAGTATAATTGGAGTTACTTTAACATTTTAGGATAAAGTAAGAACAGAGAGTTATAGAGACTGTATGTACAAGAATACAGACCTCTTCAAAGGCAAAGTGGTACTTGATATAGGATGTGGCACAGGGATTCTCAGTATGTTTGCAGCCAAGGCTGGGGCAAGGCGTGTAATAGGAATCGACCAGTCAGATATCATTTGTCAAGCCATTGATATAGTCAGGTGAAAAAAATACTCACTCATATTTGGATTAACAAGTAATATTGGAAAGGGAACCAAATGAATCATGGATGGATCATGTCTCTTTTGATCTTAATGGAATTTACTTAAATTTTTGTTATTTAGGGACATGACATTAAAATTGTCACAAATCTTTTTAGTACTTGTCCCTACTTATATCACTTCCTATCAGTGATAATTAAAAAAAAAATAAGGTTTGATATTTTAAGTATTAAGTTCATGTTATTATTTTCAGAGAAAATGGTATGGAAGATGTAATAACATTGATAAAGGGAAAAGTGGAAGATGTCGACATTCCTGAGAAAGAGGTGATATTTGATTTGGTCATCTTGCAAGATCCCATTTAAAAACACTTTCCTACTGAAAATTACTTATTTACAGATTAAATTGGCATACTGTTTGAAATATGATTTTAATTCATGAATTAAATTTTGGTCTGTTATTCTGTTTAATAAAAGGCATGCCATTTTTTAATTCTTCATTATATGCCTAACTAGTTTAGACAGGATTAGTTTTAACTAAGTACTTATTTTTTTAGGTTGACATTATAATCTCAGAATGGATGGGGTATTTTTTATTATTTGAGTCTATGCTAGATACAGTGTTGTATGCCAGGGACAAGTGGCTATCTCCTGGTGGTTCAGGTGAGTTTGTGAAACTGCACATATTGTGATGCTTAAACAAAGTCACCAACCCCGACCCTTTTTTTGTCTGAAACTAAATTGATGATCATCCCCTCCACCACAGTTCCAAAGGGGGAGAAAAGATGCCCTCTTAGGCCGACAGAAACATCGTTTGCCTCACTCTGGATTGAGTCACAGATGTCATCGAATGGCTGCCATTTAAGACCAGAAAGCTCAAATGTATATTTTATCTTAAGTACTGTTTTTATCCATTATTATTGATAACTACTTGCTATATGTAAATAAGGTTTTAAATGTATAATACTAATTTTATTGCAGTTCTGCCAAGTCATTGTAATATCTCCCTAGCTGGTCTTAGAGATGAGAGTCTATACAGGAAGCATGTGGCTTACTGGGATGATGTCTATGGTTTCAAAATGAGCTGCATGAAAGTCGCTGTGATGAGAGAAGCAAGTGTAGAGGTTGTCAACAAAGATAGTGTTCTGACTACTGCATGTGTTGTTAAGGTAAAGATAGTGACCACACAATGAACTTGAACTGCATGTCTCTTTATGATAATGCTTTTGTTGTGAGAGACAAATTTATTATGCTTTTTAGTACTCTTTGGATTAGAAAGGGAGGATTTGGCTTATTACAGATTTGTAAACAGTGTTAGCAGCTGTATCGAAGTTGTATTGAAATGTTAATTTGTCTGCAAGAAGTTGTGTTTAATAGTAAAAATCCTCTTCATCAAGCAAGCCATATGTTAACAACTAAAGTTCTAATTAGGCCCAGGTTTCAGTTTTACTTATGATTGTTTGACAGTAATAACCATCAATTGCACTTTTCAGGACATCGATATAGAAAAGTGTACTGTCAAGGAATTGGACTTTTCTTCACCTTTCTCTTTGGAAGCAACTTCAGACGGAGAATTGACTGCTATAGTGGGATATTTTGATATTTTTTTCAACTCTGGTTGTCAAAATAAGGTATTGGTGCTGATGTTTTTTATGTATGTTCAGGTTGTCTTTGAAAGAGTAACAGCTCTTCTTTTGTCTGAGCTTCTTTGTAAAATATGAAAACATGTTTGTTCATTTGAAAGATTAGAATAATTATTTTAATGCATTTTTCATCATTTTTAAGCTATAATTTGCCCATGCAAAAAAACTGTGAAAATTTAAGATGGCCTCCAGTGCATTTTAAGGACTTGTATGATGCATCAATTATTTAGAAAAGCACCATTTTTTTGGGAGGGAATTTAGAGAGTGGAAGTGACTGCTTATTTATGTAATTAAGTAATCCTTTATATAAATTAATTTTTATTTATATATGTACATTTTTTCTCAAATTTTAGGTCATGTTTTCCACAAGTCCCAGTGACACTGCCACACACTGGAAGCAAACTGTTTTTCTCCTACAGACACCTGTAAATGTTGAAAAGAATCAGAGATTAGAAGGCAGTGTATCCTGCAAGAAAAACAGACGGGACCCTCGATCTCTTATTGTGACTATTAACTTGGAAGGGAAAACGACAACATATCTGATGCAGTGACATATATGGGATATGGGGTTAATATGGTGCTTATCCTGAGGCGTTTGTCCAACAGTGGAACACTATAGGCTCTAAATGATGATGATGATGATGATCCCTATTCCCCTTTACTTTAAGACTAGTTGTACTAAAGTCATAATGCATTTTCAAAAAATGACTACCTTTTCTAAAAAAGCTGCATTTTTATCAAAGTTAAAATGCAAGGAAGACTTTATTGCTCACTCTGCTTACTTAATTAACAAAACCAACCAGTAGTCAAGAAGATTGTGACCTTGAAAATACGCTTATTGGCTATTTTTGAGTTCGTTACTTCATTGCAGTTGATTTGTTAAAGACCTTGATTAAAATTTATAAATTCTATTCATTTCATGCCAAAGTACCCTACTCTGCCTCTTAAATGTAAAATATGTGAAACTATTTATATACGTGTTAGAAATGTATGTTGCAGTAAACTAAAAATGCAGGATACTTAATTTTCCAATAAAATATTCTATACACATATGCTTCAGTCATTTTTATAAGACCAGAATTTTTAAAAAATTATCTGAAAAAGTGAATAAGTAGCAGAAAAACGATTGCCACGATCTTTTGCAGGGTCTTTCACATGTGATGCCACTACATATAGTCTTTTATAACATGTAACATGGGAGATAACAGGTTGGTTGTACTACGACTCTCTTTTTTTTTTTTTATAGCGATGTGTCGATTAGTAGCTGTTCTTTCGTTAAGTAATTATTAATATATTTTTATCTTTAAACTTTTCTGAACCTTTGAAATTAAAATTTTTATCTCATCCTTATATCTCTTCTACCTTCTTTACCTAGGCTAGGCTGGTCTCTGACCTTAGTAACCAAAGTCCTTCGTTTTTTTGTCGGTATCCACCCTATATAGAAGTTTTAAAGCTTCACAACTAGCGTGAAGAGAGGTACGTATGAGCATCGTGTGTGAAATCGATTAAACGTATGAAATCACCCGTATGAGTAAAGGATGTGTACCGTATATCAGCGTTTAAGCAGAGTATATTAGCGTTTGATTAGCGCATACCTATATGTGCGTTTTTAGGCGTATATGAGCGTTTGAGTACCGTATTTACGCGTATGATAAACGCGTATGAGTAATATTTGGGTAGCGTACTTTTGTTTTATTGATAATTATGAAGTGCAAGCTGGATCAAATCCAACTGGTCTTAGAAGGTATCTACATCCATCCTCTCCATCTCGGGGGTTGTGATGAAAATGTGCAAATTGACGAGAGGATGCATTTATCATGCTTTAGGTAAACACAAAATGCATTTGGCATACGCAAATAAACAGAAAGGATATGTAAATATACGGCAGACATACGTTTACATATGTTAATTATTCGTTAGAGACAAGTTCGCTACGGTGCTAGTTCGTCAAAATTACGCTGCATATGCATACTGTACGCGATAGAAGCGTAGCTGTTGCGTATGTTTAGCGTCTGCCTAGCTTATTCGTCGTATGCCTAGTGTATCCCTAACGTATGGGTAACGTGCGACTCAAACGCTCGTATACGCTTCAAAGTTTTGAACATGCTCAAAAATCTTTTCCTCCTTCTGCGTATGTAAGAGTACACCAACTTCTGCATGCGTATTCAAAACGTATACAGCGTAATAACAACGAACCCAGTGTGTTTATCTGCATATTTCATAGTGCAATACGCTACAGTGTGGCAGTGCCCCTGTGGCGAGGTTTAGGTTATGATATTGACCTTCAATGAACATGGTATTGATATTCATTATTGTTTTAACAATATTTAAATATAGTTCATGTTTGGGTTTAATTATAATAACAGTGGGCTGCCAACTGGACCAGATCCAGTCGGTGTTGTGAAAGAGCTACCACCATCTTCTCCAGCTGGCAAAGCTATGATGATAATTGGAAAATGTCTCTAAATTTATACCACAGATAACAAATAGTTTGGATCCGTTTTCCAAACGCTAACTGCGCTAATTGATCGTTACAGATACGTTCAATAACTAACTCATTCTCGACCACTACGTTACTTAAAAGCGCTACGCAAATAAGCTGTATCGGTCATCGTATATTGAATGAGAAATGTAGGCCTACCTTATCGTAATTTTTCTAATTATGCCTAGCGTATCCTTAACGTATGGGTAGCGTATAGATAACGCACGACTCAAACGCTCGTATACGCTGAAGATTTTTGAACATTCTCAAAAATATTCTTCATCTGCAATCTGCATATGCAAATGTACACCAACGTGTACCTGTATACAGATGTAAGTTAAACGAAGCCCTTGTGTTTGACTGCATATTTTGTTGAACATGACGTGTGAGGAAATTTACAAATAGCCTACCCAGGCAAGGGCATGGTTAGACTGATATACTGATATATTTTCTTCCTTCTGCTTATGCAGGATGGGCACCCGTAACATAGGTAGAGTCGATTCGAGAACAAATAATTTCGCCTTAAAATTTATTGTAAGGATTTTTGACAAGACAAAAACACAATTCGAGATGTGTTTGAAGTAAAAAAAAAATGCATAAATGAAAATAATATAGGGCGCGTACTAAATAATGTATAAAATAAAAAAAGATAAAATAATAAATGAATAGGTCAAAATAGGCATAGATGAATAAATAACTTAAGTAAAAAAAAACTGATGATTTTCGAAAGGAAACTGTTTTAACGAAACAAAAACCACTCGTGCATAAAATTAAAAGGCAATGTGAGTTGATTTCAAGTAATTTTCCTGAACAAGGATGGGCATAGGTGTGCAATTATGCAAGTGTGAATGTCATAAAGAAAATCGGAAATGGGAGTTTTTGTATGTGCATACTATATATATATGAGTAGATAGCCGTGGAAAAGTTGCAGTAAGTTACCTCCCCCTTCTTTTAATGCAGCAAATGAAATGCTTCATTTGATTGGTAGATTGAAAATACGACTTTTCTCAGTGCGGGATGCGCAATGTGCAGACGAACAAAGTGGATGCAGTATGTCTGTATCTGATTGTATTTTGACGCCTGCAAAAAGGCCACCTCATCCTAAGTTGGTAAAATACTGGAGTCAAGATGGAGAGCTCATCTTTCAGAGTATGTTGAAAGAACAGGAACATAATTATGGATCGAAAACAAACCGAGAATGCCAGCGAGAACGTTTTACACATGGTAAACAAAAAAGGATACTTTCTCCCATGCTCTAAGCCTTAAGATTTCAACGTTTTTTTAAAATTATGTTATGTTTTGAATATTAGCAATGTTTCTGCTATTCTAATAATATTCTTTCGTAATTTCTTTCAATTATATTTATTTTTTCACAAGAAACTATATATATATATATATCAAGCGTTTTGACCAGCGTAATTCACCCCTGAAGTGACCTTGGCTCTCAGAAATTTTAAATGGGCAAAGTTACTGCATAAGTACCCCAAAAATGCTAAGTTTGTATGTTTGCCCACGCTCGGCTGTCACCTTGATTGGATAGTAAACGATTGTCGTAAAATCGCTAAATGATATTAAAATCGGGTGCATAAACTAGAAAACCACCTAGGACAACCTAAGACTGCCACATTAATCCAATATGTTTGCATTGTATTGGATTAATGTGGCAGTCTTAGGTTGTCCTAGGTGGTTTTCTAGTTTATGCACCCGATTTTAATATCATTTAGCCGATTTTACGACAATCGTTTACTATCCAATCAAGGTGACAGCCGAGCGTGTGTTTGCCTTATACTTAATATTAGTTTCTTCTTACAACTTACAAGCAGTACACAGACTAGTGTAATAGAAATACATGTACTGTACTGTAGTAATAGAAGCATTAGTAACTAATTTTTAAAAAAATTAATTGTTATTAGGCTAGATTAAAAGGCATGTATAAATGAACATTATGCATTATTATAAGAACTAAAGTAAATGCAAGTATCATACATTCTATTGAAAATTTTTTCTTCATTCTTGATATCTTTTTTTTTTTTTTTTTAATACAGTGATATCCCTCTACCTCTCAGGTTGAAGAGGGGCTCGTTTTTTATTTTTGATGACATGAGTATATAGTTCCAGATCAATACTACAGTTCAATATACTCTGAAACATTTGGGACACCAATACCAAGTTTGAATACTGATACACACTCCAGCTATGACTCTAATTTGAATCTAAGTGATATCTCACACAGAGACAAGGGCAGTGCAGACAGGCAAGAACAGGAAAGGAAACAAGGGCACCTTGCAGGAGAACCTGTCCAAAATCACCTGCCTTCCTTTGAAAATGTCAGATACATCATGTCTGGAAGTAGAGCCACTCAAGCAAATTATGTGCAATCACAAGAAAATACCAGTTATCAAAATGATTGGCAACCGGGACAAGAACATAGCACTGGTACAAAAAGACAAGAGGTTTGGTTGAGACAAACTGATGATAATTTTGGCTCAGTCATAAATGATTATTTCAAAGCCAAGGAGTTTGATTCTTCCCAGAACACCAGCAGTGGAAAGGGTAACATTAATTATCAAAGCCAAGCTGGCTCATCAACATCTGCACAATATGTTGAAACTAATCTGGATCCATTTCTCAAAGAAACTGTCATGTCTCCACCTCTAGATTTAAGTGGGGAGTCTTCCTCTGCTATTAGCGAAACACAACTGACATCACAGGATTTGTTCACAACTCAAGGTACTGATAGTGCAAATGAATTTTCACAATTCAACACTGACAGATCACTCACTTATTACCTGCCTCTTTATCATTCAAATACTCCTGACTTACCTGATTCATCAACAGCAGAAGCTTTCATTCACCAAGAATGTCTACGAAATAGATCTGACAGATATCCTGAAACACCAAAATCTTGTCCTAACATAGCTAGAAAACAATTACAAGACCATTATCCTAGCACCATGTGTTTAACCAATATTTCAGAGACACACACCAGTCCTTATCTTAAGCCAAATGGCCTAGTTGATGATGCAGAGGTCAATCAGTTAACACATTTTAAGAATGATGAAAATCAATTACCTGCCTTCACAATCCCAGTAAAGCTACAACAGCAGCAAAAGGTGGACATTGCCAACAAGACCCACACTTCATCCATTGCCAAAAGGCTGTTGCAAAAAAAGATTACTGATATGTATAAAAAGGATGTGCATTGCCATCAAGATATCATGAAAAAGACCCCAATTTCATCAATTACAAAGCGACTGCTGCAGCAAAAAGACATGCCAAAGTAAGTCAAGGTGTTAAAATGTGTCAGTAGGTTGTTAAAATGACTAGTACGAAGTTGAAGTTGGCATAAATTTAATAGGTCTAATATCATTTGTCTCCAGCATTGCTCTGCCATATCTTATCTTCTTTGATATTCTCTAACAGTTAGTTCTTTTAATAAATTAGTTCCTCATCCAAGAAAGTTCATACCAGTCCTTTAGAAAAAACGTGTGATGATATGAAAAGTAAGTGTTGGGAGATTTTTATGTTGCATGTGAATTCCTCCGCAATTGCAGAGATTTTATTGTTGAATTGGATAAATGTAGTGAATAAAATGCATTTTGTAAAGAATAGTTCCACCTCACACATTATTTGTTTATTTGTCATGTAATGAGACTTTTTTTTTTTTTGTGAAATATGTCTGAGATGTCAATTTAATATAAAAAGTAATATCTGCATTTACTGCACAGGGGATGTATTGAAGGTAAAAGATGTTAATATTCCAACCAGCCAAACTGGAAAATCCTTTAAGGTACCCTACAAGAAAAATAAAAATGATACTGCCTGCAATAATCAAAGCAAGGTGAGTTACTAAAGTAAACGCTTAATGAAATGTATGAAATGATCAAAACTAGTAACATGGTTTGTATTGTCTTTTAAAATAGATGTAATATACATTATACATTTATCCTTTTGCATAGAATTGTGGACTGTACTTAATATTCATAATACTTATTTTCTGTATCTTAGATATTATATTGCAAAATTATTTATTTTGGTGGTTTCTCTTTATAGCATTTAGCAATCTTATGTTTCAGATTTGTGAAGACACCCCCATGAAGGTGAATAAAAAGATCCAGCAATTAGCTAATCTTTCTTCTGATGAGAGGCACCAATTGCTAGGAAAGCTACTTCTTGCAGATGAAATTGCAATGACATTATTATATGCAGATGGATCATCTCAGTTGAGAGAACCAACAGCAAGAAAGGTGCCCTTCTCTCTAGATAAAAAGTGATACATTTAGTGAAATTGAATATTTTTGTTTGTGAAACAGTCAAAGAGCATCTCATACCAGTATGTTGTAAACATGACACATTTGTGAGTCTGTAACATCTCCCATAATCTTTTCCTATGAGGAATGTGGTACATGATTTTTGGTTGCCCCCCCCACCCACCCCCACCCCACCCCCAGAGTTTAAAAAATCTTCCATATTCCATTAAATGCTCTGGTACACCTACTGAAGCTGCTAAACAACAATTAATTACCCCCTAGCAGCCTCAGTAGGCGTGACAGACATCTAAGCCACTTAAATTGATAGCAGTTTAGCGAGAATCCCCTCAGGGATAGATTGATCCACAGTTAGTACAATAAGAAATTAAAAACAGAAAAGCATAATCTTAACAGATACGATTGTTTGATAGGCTTTACGCCAGTAAATAACTGTGTTGACGCTCATTAGATTTGCACTTTCAAATTAATATTACTTTTTTAATAAATAAATATTGCTCAAATTAATGAAATTTCAAAATACATGAGGTACAGGCACATTTATTTTTTTACAGAAAAGAGGCATTGTCCCAGAGGACCAGGAGGTAATGCTTTGAAATATTTGAAAAGTTTAAAAATATACTGATGTATGTAAAACCATAATCTTGAAAATTGTTTTAGTTAGCAATTGACATTATAACCAGTATGCTAAAATTACTGTAGATGCATTTTATTTACATGCCATATGATAAGATAAAATTAAGATCTATTGTGCATGTATTAATTAATTCATTTATTTCATCTTAGGCTGTCTCAATGGTGTTGGCATATCAAAGTAAAGAAAACATCCAGCCTAGCATTGCTGGTGTAAAGAGGGCCAATTCTTTGTTGTATGTGGCTTTTCCTCTCTGCAGTGAAGATGAGGAGTGTTTCAAATGGTCCAGGTATAGAAGAATATTTAAAACCCTTAATGAAATGAGTCTTCTTTATTTTTTCTTCCATAATTGGCTATCTGAAACAAATTTTATTTATTTGTTAGTTAGTTAGTTAGTTAGTTAGTTTGTTTGTTTGTTTGTTTGTTTATTAATTTATTTATTATGTCAATTTGATTGTATTTTATTTTTAATTTGATATACATAATGTTGTAGGTCTGCCACATGTACTTTGATGGCAGCTAAATGTAGGAAGATCTGTTTCGATTCTCAAGAACTGATGAGCACTCTGATCAGTAAACTGGATCTGGATCCTAAAACAGGTTTGGGTCTCAATTTGATCCAAAAGTTAAATCGTCTCTCTATTTGATAAAGTGAGAAATATATATTATTTAAATCAAAATTGAATGACAATTGCACAGTTGATACATAAAAAGTGTGTTAATGGCCAATATGCTGTTTTTGTTTTTATCCTTTATCAACCTTTCAGTAATCTCTCAGTGGCTGGTGTTTGATCCTAGAATATGCTGCTGGATTTTAGATCCAGATCAACCACCTTGTACTTTTACTCAGATGCTAAAGAGCCTACAAGACACTGGCTTGGTAATGCATGCAGGTTGATTGTTGTGAATGTATTGTTAGTAGTATTTGCATTGCAATGAAGTATTGTTTCATTAATTTTCATTCAGATTATCTGTTTTATCCATTTGCTTGAAACATATTGCTTTTCTTGATTCTTTTGTATTTTATGGGAAATTAATTATTTTGACTATTAGAAAAATTCTGCAGCCCATTGAATCTTACTTTCAGTATATTACATATAGGGTGTTTCTGCATCTGTATGTAATGTTATATACTTATTACAGAGGTTCATCCAATGAATTGTGCATAATACATCTGTCATGTTATATATATACACTGCTACAGTTTAAAAGGTATCTGCATTCTGTTTTAGAGCATTCCTGAAGGTGATTCCACTGAACCAGTATGTGAGGATTTGTGTTCCCTTGGTCCTGTGATGCAGGTTCTTTACCAGAAACTGTCTTCAAGGCATCTATGGGACCTGTATACTAAGTTAGAGATGCCACTGACCACCATGTTAGCTGTGATGGAACTTCGGAGGATCCAAGTAGATACTAGCTGTTTTCTAAAGTCTGGGGACCTGCTCAAGGTTGGTTGGTTTTAAGGCTGGAATAAATCAAAACTAAGGTTGAATTATGCTGCGCTTGAGACAAATTACATTTTTTTATTAATTACAAGTTCAGAAGTTGTCAAGTTTGGATATTTTATCACGTTGGGAATTTGGACAAAATCACTTGTTTACTAGTTTTTTTTCTATATGAAGTTCATTTGGTGGCCTCTTTTGCATATGCAGCAGCTGACATGAAGCTAATAACATCAGTTTTGTTTTTGAAAATTCTCTTCATATCTTACAAATGTAAAATGTTAAAAGTTTGTCTTCTTTTTTTAAGAAAAAGCTAACCAAATTAGAACTGGCAGCTAATGTTGCAGCAGGGCATTCTTTTTCCATCAACAGCCACAGTCAGCTCAGACAGGTAATACCAACATAATCAAACAAAAATGCACTGTTTTGAATATGAAGATAATCATATAAAATCATAGTTTATTATTATTATTATTATTATTATTATTATATGGTTACTTTTGATATCCTCTATGGGCAGTATCCTAATGGTTTAATTTCTTTTTATCCTTTCAGGTGTTATTTGAAGAATTAAAACTTGATGCCAAGCTTCCAAAGAAAGCAAAGATAGCTAAAACATCAGTAGGGCAACAGAAGTCGACATCAGAAGCTGTACTTTCACAACTTAAAGACTTGCATCCTTTACCCAAGATAGTGTTAGAATACAGACAGGTGTGTGTATTATTTGGATTAATGTTAAAATTGCCACTACCTGTTTTACAATTATGATCAGACCTTCATTATGGTGACTGCTTTATAAGATACATTGATTTCTAGGTTGTATGCTAGCAACTCCTTCCTCTCCTTATGCTGGTATTAGTGTTCATCTGACCAATCTCCTGTGGATATGGTCAGGTAATTTATGTGCCTGACACTTGTGGGCATTTATCGTAATGTTTCCTTTAGCTGAATCTGTCTCTGAAGCAGTAAGGTTTTTTTTTCTTATGCATTTATCCAGTAACAAAGCAGTAGTGAATAATATATAACACTGTAGTAGTTCATGACTTTAAAAGCGTAGTAAAATTTATGGAATAAAAGGTAATGCATAATCTGTGAAAATTTTAAAATTCAGATCTTTATTTTTTAGAAAAAAATCATTTTAAAATTGTGATAGGCAATGCTCATATGATAAAACTCAAAACAGTTTCATAATTTTTTAGCTCCAAAAGTTAAAATCTACCTATATTGATGGCATGCTGGCATTTGTTGAAAATGGCTATCTCAGCACTCACTGGGACCAGACAGCTGCAGCCACTGGACGCCTTACCTCTACCAGTCCTAACATACAAGCTATCCCAAAACTTCCTGTGGTGCTGACTGGAGTTAATATTACTGGTAATTTACATACAAATCACAGATATTTATTGGTGCTATCAAGAATTTTGGTTTGCAGCAAGAATCATCCTTCTGAACTATATGGTGTTATGTTGGTGGTTATTTATTTGAAATTGGTTCTGTAATGTTATGTAAGTGTTACTGGCATATTTATAGAATATTCTCTCTTCTGTTGTTTAGAAAAAGAGGATGAGAAGGAACAGCAGGTGTTTGCAAGAGACCCATTTGTCAGTCGTGATGGATGGTCATTTCTAGCAGCAGGTAAATATTTTTGTTTTGTCCACTGTATGAAACAAGGCAAATACAATAAAATATTAATTGATTTGGCAGTTTATTCATTAAGAGGTATGCACATCTTTTCAGAATACACAATAGACAGAAATTTTTACAAACATAAGACCATAATGATTTCAGTTTTTATCTCAATACAGATACTATTACATTGTTAGGGGATGCTTTGAATACATTTTAATATTTAATTAACATGTTTTTCTTTTACTCTTAGATTTCTCTCAAATTGAGTTGAGATTGTTGGCTCATCTATCAGATGACACTGTACTACTGGGGTGTTTCAACAGGGATGGAGAAAGTGACATATTTGTGGAACTTACAGCATTATGGTAAATGATGTGATGTGAAATATATAATGTTATGCTTACATAAACAGGATATTTAGTTAGAAATGCTATCATAAATAAATGTTACCATATTTTGCTGTAGTTTAATATTTATCTTTGATATTGGCAGGTTGTGTAAGGCAGCAGATGATGTCAGTATGATGGAACGAGAACAGACCAAAAGAGTGGTATACTCAGTCATGTATGGAGTGGGTAAGTGTTTGACATATTTAGGCATGAATTTTGCAAATCCATGTACAATAAAAAGCGAAGTCCAGGATCTACATTGATAGAAACAAGAAATACATCCCAAATTAATTTCAATTTAAAGAAGTCTGTTATAAATGGTTATAACAGTTATTATAACTTTTCCTGTCCCAATTTCATACTCTACTTCTCTCTCTCCCACCCCACCCCCCACCCCCCTTTTTGTCAACGGAATGCTTTCTCTGATAGTGTGTGATTGATCCTCCAGGCAAAAATTCCTTGGCAGATTACCTTAAGATGAGCCCAAATGAAGCCAAGGCCATCATGACCAGTTTTCTAGGTTTGTAATGGCAGAGGATAAGAACTTTGAACTGGCATTTATGAATTAAGAATCATGTGAATATTTCAGTTAATTGCTTCTTTTAATAACTTATATCGTGTTAATGAAGCACTTAAATTTTTTTTTAACAGATATGTATAATGGTCAAACTTGTATGAAGCCATAACTTGTATTGTTCAAGAACATAAAGTTAGAGCTTAATGTATGGTGAAACCACATTATCAATCCAAATATTTATTGTGGAAGTCAACTATTTTCATTTTTGTTTTTGTCGTTACAGTAAAATTTCCAGGAGTCAACATGTTTACAAGAAAATGCATTGAGCAGTGTAGGACTAATGGTAGGTCAATTATAACCCCTTTTTACCAAGAAATAAAAGCACCTTTATGTCTTATCTTTTTCCATATTTCTAAGAAATGCTTTTAATGTGGAATACTTACAATAATTGAATTAAACCATAACATTTACTTTAAGAGGCAAGTGTTTTAAGAATTACAACACTTTCTGTAAAATAAATGTAGGTCTTTTTCACAGCAATTTTAACAAATCTGCCATACTCAATTTTGCCCTCTGCTAACCAGAGCCACAACTTGGATGTCAGCTATGTTTACTTCACAGGTTATGTATGTACCATATTCAAGCGAAGAAGATGGTTCCCAAACATCAAGCACCCTTCGCCAATGTTAAGAGCTCAGGCTGAAAGACAGGCTGTCAATTTCTGTGTACAAGGTAGCGTCTTCAAAATGGCACATTCAGAAGCAAATGAAATCCTGCTTTTACCTATTGCCTGATCAAGGACAAATAAATATTTCTATTTTTTTATCGCATTACGGAGTTCATTAAAATTACCCTTTACAACTGTTAAGCCTCTGTATTATTTTGTAGAATCAGATAAAATAGAATCAAATAGAAATTCATAATTCATTCAGTAACTTTTTATTTACCCCTTTTTCTTCTTTACCAGGCTCTGCAGCAGATTTGTGTAAGGCAGCCATGTTACAAGTAGAACATACCTTATCTGCTAGGGCACACCTTAGTGCTCAGTAAGTCTCTCTAATACAAAGAATTTTGGTAATATCTATGATTTACTAATTGATTGAGTTACTGTAAAATTAATCTGTGCCTGTCCAATTTGATAGATATATTTAATCTTATATAATTAAATTCTGATTTCAAAAATGCTTGTTGTAATTTTAATTAAAATGATGTTTTCAGATTGCTTGTCCAGATTCATGATGAGCTACTGCTGGAGGTACCAGATTCAGAGATAGAAGAAACCAAAGGTTTGTGCCTCTTATAATTTCAAAAGAATAAACCACACAGTCCACAAATTTATGTGGACTATATAATTATTCATGGGGTGATAAATGTTTCAGCATTGAAAAGAAAGACCTTTTTATATCCTTTTCTATTTGTATAATATACAGGTGTTATAAGAGGTATAATGGAATCTTCTGAAGGGTTGTGTGGTGATATGACTCATCTCAAGCTTCCACTGAAAGTCTCCTTGTCTTGTGGAAAGACGTGGGGCCACATGACACCTTGCTGAAGAGTTGACCAAGGTTACAAATTCCACATTTTTGTCACTGGACCAGCATGTGATGTGTTAACAACTGCATTATTAATAACCAAGACTTTTTTAAACTGCACCTTTTTTTATTACCAGTTCTTATTACAATGTGAATTTGTTCAATCATCACTACCCTGTGTGCTATTTTGGAAGAAAATGACACAATTCCTCACTACATATGGCTACATATTGCTCGCCAATAAGTAACTGTGAACATTACTGTGAAACAACTTGCTCTATGTTTTCTGTTATTTCACTTAAAAATGGAAAGTCATGCTTTATATCATCTAACAAAAAAGCTTATTTTAAGGTTTTTGCTCTTGATATTACTGTTTATGTAGTATTGAACATTTATCACCATTTTGTCAAGCTGTCAGGAGTATTTTCATTTTGTAAGACTATATGATAAATTTACATTATATCAGACTGTATGGTTGTGTCTTTAATTTATAACTAGCAGCACAATAAAGGATCACTTAAACTTAGCACTTCAAGTGACTGGACCTTCAAGGTCCAGTCATTTGAAGTCAAATTCGTGAGAATTCATAAAAATTCATAAGAAATTAATTGTTCAGTGATCAGAATTTTTGAGGGACAGATCATGCAATATATTTCAGGTTTAAATCCTATGAATATGCAGTTAGATCCAATCAGCCATCACTAAAAGGAACATTATTTTAAAATATTGTTCTTCCTTCATTCCTATTTTTTTTTATTTTTTTGTGTTTTTGTTACAACACAATGCCAAAACAGGACTACAGAAGGGCACTAAGAGTATAAAATTTGTCAGGTAAATAAAGTAAAAAAAAAATCTTATTGATGAATCAAACCCCCTGCATCTCTGCTAACAGGTTGAAAAATGCCCCGTGAGTATTATTCTGACAACCTACCCTGAAGTACACCTTCTAAGCATTGTGTACTTATCTATATTAGTAAAAAATTTGGCCATTGTGTTAGAAGACCTCTTCATGAGAATATGATTATTGTTTTTATGGCTTCATATATATATATATATATATATATATATATATATATATATATATATATATATCACATAGACCATGAAGAACTAACATTTTAAAAACTTGGCTCTACATCTGTAAATGATTTGGCCTACATTGCTTTTGAATGTAAAAAACAAGTGTGCCGTTTTGTTCTTGAGTTCACCTATTTACACAAGACGAACTAATGGGAAGTCTGAAAAATAAACCATAATGATAACATTACCTCCTTTGCTTGACAATTCATCACAGCAGCATGGGAAGAACTAGACTTGTGTACAACATTTTAAATATAAATTGGCTGTCAGCTGATAAGTTGCCAACATAAGATGATATTGAAACTTACATTATAAATATTAAAATAGCAACATGAGGATGAATGTTACATTTATAATAGTCATAGCATTTAAATTTTTAAAAGTCTAACAATTTGACATATCATTACACAGAAAACTCATCACAGTTATATAAGGATGATTTTTTCATGTTTTATTCAATACGAATTATTAGCAAAAGCAGTATGTACATCAGCATATGATTTTTCACTTTCAGTAATTACTTATCAATATTTGTCTATGGCAATGCTTTACATCACACAGGTTTGTCAGTTGGGCTGAATATCTTATCTTTGAATATCTTGCCTAAGTGTACAGTAATTTGTTATGATTTAGGTTGAACTTTTATTGAACTTCCCCAATAGCATTCCTGTGTCAATTGCTATATTTTATACAACTGTTTCTGCTCCACATCCCATTTGCAATTTCTTCATTTTTCTCAGAATATGTGCCACATCTGCACATCCACCAGTTCCCTGCACAATTTTTGGTTCCTCATCGGAGGAGGAGTGTGCAGAATTATCATCACAATAATTCACAGGTGTATCTGGGCGTGACAACAAAGGTTCCCTAGCACGAACATCAAGTTGATCTTCCTTGAAAGAAACTCGTAACTTTCTGGCCCTGTTTGAAGCATCTTTTGACTGTCTTTTGGGTGATCGAGGGGGACTAGCAGTATTCTTCAGATTGTTTTCATATGTGGAGTTTTTTCGGGGGGACATGTTTCGGAGGTGTTTAGGAGAGGGGGCATTTTGCAGTGGTGACCCATTTGAAATGGTCAAATCTGCGACATCAGGTTTGTGCTTGTGACTAGGAGAGCCAGTTTTGGGGGAAGACCTACCTCCTTTACTTTCAGCTGAAGTGACCACTTTGGGTTTACGCCTAGGTGAATGGATTTTTGGTGATGCTGATCGGTCATTGCATGTAGTCTCATCACTTGAAGAGCTCGTATACTTTCCAGGCAAGGGTTCTGAAGGATTGTCAGAAATGTTTTGGCCATTATTCAGTTCTTTGGTTTCTTCCCCATATTTTGCTGTGTAAGTAGGAGAGTCATCATCTTCATTAATACTTTGGCCCAAGTCAGAAGGGGGATCTGGAAATACAAACTCCTCACCGGCAACATCAAATGGGTTAAATCTCTGGAAAGGAGACCTGGGGGGTGGGGGAGGAGGTGGGGTCACAGGGGCAGTCTCCCCCTGGGGTTTAGTCTCTGAACCCTGGTTGGTCTCCCCATCTACAAAATCAAGACCACTCAGAAAATGACTTATGTTCACATTTCCTTTCTGTTTCACAACCTTTGGAGGTTGTAAATAATTATATTCCTCTGCTGACTTGGCCTCACTTTTTTCATTGTCATTGTCTTCTGTTTCTCCAATGCTCATGTTTGAGTAGTCTTCTCTGGATATTCTGGATCCCCCATTATTGGAGGGGGAGATATCCTCACTGCTATAGCCACTGGAGTAGCGTGTGTTCTGCTCTGGGGACAGATACTCAATACAGACACCAGGGCGGTTGGTATTAGGAGAGGAAATCATGCTATCAATATACTTACTGTAGACCATCAGGGTGCAGGAGAAGAGAGAAAAAGACAATGATTAATACTAATATACTGTGTAGTGTTTGCTGTGCAGTACAATGATGTCATTTCACAAAAATTCAAAATCAATTCAGTACATAAAAGACAAATACACAAATGCTACCAGAGGGTCACAGCAGTTAATTGTCTTCCAAGCAAGGGTATGTAAACCGAGTTTCAGATCTGATAGGTGCCAGTTTCTCTTTTCATATGTAGATTTGAAAGTGGAGATGCTGGCACCCATCAAATCTGAAGTATGGGATAGGGGGAAGAGGATAAGCAGGAATGATATAATGCAAAGCATGGTTTTCAAGGTATTGACCAACTTTTTGATGAAAGAGAAACATGTCTATACAATTTGTTTCATCTGATCCTGTTTTGTAACTTATTTAGGATGTGAATTTCAAAATGATTTAATCATAGCCAAACTGATACAAGCTGAAATATTTTATTTCAAAATGATACTTCAGTTCTAAATTTTTTTGCTGTTAAGGGACCAACTGACATGCCTTATTATGGGACTGAGTGTCACCACAACGAATAATTTTTTGGGAAGAATAACCATGTATCAATAAACATTGGATCATCAAGTTCCATTCTGGCATTCCTTGTGGTTTCTCACATACATGCAGGGTGAAAACCGCTAAACAATTCCAGCAAACCATGCAAAACTCAACACAAATATCACAAAATATTTTTCAACTTATATTTTTATTACAAAATAGAATAATATATTGCTTTAAAAGTAACAAAATTATAACTGAAAACAACAGGCAATGTATACCACTGAAAGCCAGATTACAAATTGCCCAACGAATTTTACACCAGAAAATTCTCCCAATAGCTTACAAAAGCTCTGATTAGATTCACATTATCAAAAATCAAATCTGTATGCCTTTAGATCAATAAATAAAATCTAACATATTTCTCCCTGAATATATTTCAAAGTGGTGTGAAATAATTCATTTTCCTTTATTTTCTGGAAACTAATAGGTAATAATTGTACATGGTATGAACTTAATGCACTATTTGTTAGAATCGGTTTGCACATTACAAGAGCATTTTGAGTAGAATCTATCTTTGGATAAAAGGGTCAGTCTTCTGCATGTACATGTACATTTCAACAAAAGCCAACTTGTTTCTTAATCAGCTTGGTTGTTTCCAGTGTCCTTATAAAACCCCAAGCACATCAAGAACAAGACAATTTCAAGGTTTCTAAAAAAGAAACTTAAAACACCATAATATTAAAATTTCACAAAATTGTAAGAAAACACCAATGTGTGCATTTGCCAGGCAGGATCATATTATTGCATTCATCAGCATTCTAACAAACACCAGAAAAACAGACTGACCACACTGCTAAGTGTTGAGGCAATTCATACTTTGGGGCTCATTTTTTGAATTCATTGATGAAAAACCAAGTTATCACAGACATTGCTCTCGATAATACTTGTAACATTTTAAAATGGAAGTGATTGAGACAATAGCTCCACAGTCATGTTATTACTATTACGTTAACCTAAAACTTTTGTTGACAGAGGTTTGCCTTGTTCATAGTCATTAGTTCATGGGCAATGTTCTACCATTATAAAAATCAATACTTGGCTTAGTCAGAAACTTGCCATAAAATGAACTAATAAATAGACTATTTATTACAGCACTGATTGACATGTTTTAGGTCTGCTATTAATATCCATATCCAACACTATCTGACAGAAATGCATACAACCACAAAAACTCTTGGTGAGGTTGACACACTTCAGCAACAACTGGTAAAGCTGACAATTTTCCTGTCATGTGTTTTTAACATAATTGGCATGTAAATGCACTTCCATGTTAAGGTGTAAAAAACACCTTTTACATCAATAGACTTAGAGATGAGTATTACAACAACCCATTTGAAATGATTGATGGAAGGGGCATAAATCATTATCACTGAACCAGTTTAGATGGGAACTGAGCATAAAGTTTTTTTTTTATAGCTTTATAGACCCATTCAATCACTTCATCAATGCACAACCTGTCTGTACACAGTATACTCTGCCCTTACTTGTCAGCCACTTCCACACCATACAAGCTGTTTTTCATGATATAGTCTATTACAGCATCCTGGACTAGGTACTTAACACTCTCTTGTCGCCTTAGTGCCCTCCTGACAGAAGAAAATGTTATATTTGCTTAAATCATGATGAAAAAATTAGTTTTACTTCAAAACAAAAAGAGTGAAATTTTCGTGCAATCTGTGAGGCATCTAGTTACCTTGAAACAGCTTGATATGCTGTGTGACATCATATTTTCTCTTATTAGCTTTAGTTATTAAATATATATTATCCAGATCTAAATACTTGAGCTATGGAATATCTAAACTACAATGCATTTCTAATTACAACTCAATAATTTTTCTTTTTTCATGTGTCTGAAAAATAAGCAAAAGTCCTAAAAAGTGAGTTTGTCAGAAGAAGAAACATTCTTTCTGGTAATGCTAAAAAGATAAATTCTAAAACATAATGAAAAACATTGTTATATTTGAGTCATCTGACATTTCCTAATAAGTCTAATAACTTTTCTGAAATTGTTTGATGTTTGAAATTTTCTAATAGGTCAGAAAAATCCTAATAAATCTACTTACCTTATTTTTGTGGCACTGATATCATTGGTGATCCACTCTGTGACTATATGAATATTGTACTAAAACCAAAAAAAATAAATAAATAAACTGTTTAAGCCAATTTATACTCTATAATGGACAGGCATCAAAGTAAACAAAAAAGAAAGGAGATTTCATTACAAATTAAATTAATGATCATTGTATATGTGGAACCATCTCATCATTCATATCACATTGAACTATAAGCAGGCACTTAAATGTGTTAAAATTCTTGCCAAATCTCGTCTCCGGAAGCCCTTGCGCAGTCAGTGGAATTACACAGGGACAAATGACAAGTCTGCTTCTTTAATTTAGTCTTAAAACAGGTTGATCTTAAACCAAGGAGAACATCATAGTGGACTTAAATCAATGAATCATAGATTTAATACAGATACTAAACAAGCACTTATCTGCACCAGAAGCATGTTTACCTGGAATTTGGAGAGCACATCATTTTCATAAATAAACCTGCTTGGATTTGATCCTTCTCTTGTTATACACACTAGGCCATAGTTCCTTACAATGTCTTCAATCTAAAAAGTAGTTAAAATATGCAAAATTGATTAACAATACCTTATCACACATCTACAACAATTGACATAGCCAGTTTTTTCTTCTATTTTTCTTTCTATTTTGCATTTTACAATGCAAACATTACAAAATGTTCCTCTTAGTAGGAGCATAACAGAAAGTAGAAGGCTAAAAAACTACTAAATAATCAAACAAAAAAGTATAAATAAAGCAACTAAATATAAGAAATATCAGACGCTCCATTATGCCTCAGTTTTGGAATAAAGCAATTGATTTGTGGAGAACATCACCTGTGGAGAAAATAACTTGAATGTTCAGTAAAATAAAATAAAAATTGAAACTAAAGTACAACAAGTGTACTTCGAAATAATCCTATAATGGATGACTTACATCAGCAGGCTTCCAGAGTCCTGGCACAGCAAAAGACTCCAGCAGGTCACCTCCACAAAGAAGCTTCACTTGGACAGGGCCTTGGCCGTCAGCTTGGTTGTGGAGCATGTTGCAGGACACTGGAAACAGATGGACAACATATATTTAAGATAGATATTTATCAATAATGCCACTTAAATGCTACATGAATGTCTCTGATTTAAGAACAAAAAGGAGAGCTGCATTCAGTTTGAACTGTGCCTTTAACTGGATTTTCTTTGATATTTGACACATACGTTTAATTTATCTATAAATCTCCAAAGAATTTTACAATATTTTAATGTCACTGCATTCTTAACAAATTCAGTCAATATTTGAAAAATATTTGAAAGGCAAGTTAAAAGCACTCATCCTCCTACTCACTTGTGTCAGTATACATCAAAACAAATATTTACTTCCACTTTCTGCCCAAGAGCATATTCAACATTATTGACTGGGATTCTTGGATCAATTGCAAATATATGATGTATATGGCAACTGACCATACACTTACTAGTAATTTTACCTCTTGGCTTTTACTCCTGGACATACCAAAGATTACTGACCATTTGCAATTAAATGTTGAGGCTGCACAATAAGTTTTACTGCTAAAGGCATTTGTGTGTTGATTCAATACTTTGATGTTAGCTTCATTTCGATTCTGTTTGAAAATTCAAAGGCAGCTACTTGAAAATAATTATTTGTTACAGCTGCTAATGAAAATGTTCAGCATCATCAAAACCCTCAATGAGCACTTGATTTTTTTCAAATAGGGAAATGGACTTAAATGTTTAGTATTAGATCTGAGCCTAAGTTGGGTACCAGGTGTTAAACATAATGTGGCATTTTTTTCCTTTCCATCTTTTCTAAATGCCAACATTGATTTAGTAGCTGACTGAACTTCACAAATGTGACACAAACATTCTTGTGCTAAGGTTTTTACAAAGTTTAAAAATACCCTACTTGCTACAGCAGTTAACATGAGGAAAGATAAGATCAATGACCTTCAAAATTTTCCAGTATTTTTTTGTGGTGCAACCTCGACATAAGTTCAGGATAGGCTGTCTGACTCATTAATTAACTCCAATTCCAATGCAATCTACTGATAGGGAGGTAAATAAATTAATTTTTAAAACACATGTCCTTGATGAGTCGTAGACTTTCTGTGGTTACAGTTGCAACTTTTGACATCACATTTTAAACATACTTAACAATGCTGAATTTATATTTCAGTTGACATTTACGACCAGTTAGATTTAAATGCAGAGCCCAGTGGGAGATACTGATACTTAACTGTAATTATCAGGCATAGTCAGAGCTCTAGAAATCAATGAGATCCCAAAGGACTTGGCTAGACAGGCTAACACTGGCAACATATAAATTAAATAATGCTTTTTACCATGTAAGCAATAAAAACCCTTGTGGACAAATCTATGATACTCTACCCATTGTGTAAGATGAATTTAAAACATTTGGTTCGAATAAAGAGTTTCTTATCAAGATCCACCTGCTAGATAAGTATTTTAATATGCTAGAGTCCACTGACAGCATTGAATATTTTAGCCAGGATGCAATGCATTGGGGTTACATTTAACTATACTGAATAAGAATTTATTGATTTTTCTATTTACCTACTCTAATGAGTATCCCACTTCAATCAAAGAGCTACGCCCTCTAAGTGCATTCAAGATAAATGCTACCATTATCTTTCTTCTATAGAAGGTGATTAAAAATAAGGGTACAAACATTTTATTCTTGGAAAAACCATAGAGTAACGATTCCCAACAAATTTGCTCTTCAGCTAGTTATTTCATACGATTTTTCAAGACTCACCATGAGTTGTTCCAGCATTTGTTTTTCGTTTCTTCTTAGCTGGTAGCTCTGAGTTTCTTGTGGGTCTAAGTTCATTGGCATTATATATAGAGTCTTGTTGTGCTTTATGATGAGCTAAAATTCTTGCTGTCTCTGTCCAAGTATCCTGATCACTTTCCCAAGTATCAAGTCTGAAAAGAGTTTAGTAGCTGTGGGTATTAGGAATTGAAAGTAATGTTCCAAACGTAGTATACATCTTGTCAGATTTGACCAATTCATACCAAGCATCACAACTGATTTCCAATCATTTATCCTTAATAAAATTATAATAATTTTGTTGAATGTCACCAAATTTCATGAAATTTTGCCTAAATTCTAATGCTATCTGGTATATGAGAAATGTAATTACATTCAATGAATGTCACCAAATTAATGTCACCATAGAATCATGCCCCGACTTGCATGTTATCATAGATATGAAATGATAATCCATACATATTTTATGCTTGCAGAGAGAAACTTTATTTCATAACAGAGTGATATATCTAAATATTAACTTACCTTATCCAAGAAGATGTCTTGAGAGATCTCCGTACCATTTCACACCTGTGTTTGGCTGGTTCGAGGTCCTATACAATAGAGGGGAAATAAAAACATGGATTACACAATGAATATGAGAGGTAAGATGCAAGATTTCTAGAAAGATAAAAACTTCAGTCACCATCATGAAAATGCTACCCTAGGTTCTAGATTCCGGTATTGCCAGCTCGATCTTGATTTCATATATAACCTATAGTAGCAATACCAGGCTCTAGCGAACAGTGGCAACTCGGGGGCGTTCTTCTTCAAAATTCTGCCTGGGGCGCTTCCATATTTGGAAGTCACACGTCACAGCTGTGTCTGCCTGAATCCATATTTGGAAGTCATAAGTCACGTACGTCACAGGTTTGACCGCCTGGAGCTGCCTTTCCCGCCTTGCGCTGAAGTCTCGTGCCGGCGAGACAAGAAGCAATTAAAGTGCCTGACGCGGAGTTAGAAGTTTGAATTGAAAATATCTTGCAGTCGAAGGTCAGTGCCACAATACAAGCAACATTCTGCTGTAAAAACTTATTTTCGTGTAGCCATTGCGCAGCCCTTATAGTGGTATCGGGCATACAGTGTAGCTGTCAAATTTGGCACACGGCAATCACATGTATTGTGCACGTGTATATCTCAGGACTAAATGTTCTTTGATAAGCAAAAAATACAAAAACATTGAATATATCTTTTCTTTCCGAAGAATATTATTTATTTTTTCACTTTACATCTTAAATACAGCAAATAAAATTAAATAAAGCAGAATTAAATTTGTTTTACGTTTTATTTTGGTCTGATGACATTCAACTGCATTTTCACTGCTGAGCAGTTCTATTTGATTGATGGAAAACTTTCATGGCCGCTGGTCTTCAGAGTTAGTAAAAGCGACTCCACCACAAGGTATATTTAGCAAGCTAGCTTTTACGTTGCTCTGACGCTCAGGGTAGAAAATGCGAATACATCAGAAACTAAGTTTGCTGTGCTTCACCTCATCAGATTTGAAAGACTGTACCATCTGGTTGAGTTATTTGAAAAATCTATCAAAAACTAATAAGCGGCTGTCTTCTGGGCAAATGTGGAATGGTACATAACAAATGAAGATATGATTATTTTAAAGAAGCATTGATAATGCTCATGGCACTGGTTAGTGATCTTACCTTCTTTTTGTAACCATCACTCACAGGTGACACTATGCCCTCTATCACTTCAAACCGCCCAGTCTTGTGTAAACTATCCTTGGCTATTTCTAAAATTAAATTCAAATCTACTATAACCATTATTATCATTATTACTTTTTTTATTATTCTGTGAAAGATACTATGTCGTATAGTGTCTGGAATGGGTCAATGCTACCATAAACTCCCACCAACTGGATGTACACTTACAAAATAATAGAAGGATTCAAGTGGCACATGTATCTCGCCTCCTCCTGCTTTACATCTTTAGTTGAGCAGAAACCAGGCTTCAAGTTAGAGTTAATCTGATCAACAACCGACAAGCCATGTTACATAAAATAGGGAACCTGTTTTATGCTTTGATATATCATGACTTGAATGTGCTCTGACAGCTACAAATGGACACACAAACAGTTACTAAACAGTAGGAACAGATCAGAAGCCACCACTCAAAATAAAGTATGATACAAACCATTTAAATATACTACTATTATTATTTGCAAATACATAAAATTTTGTATATAAATTAAACAGTGCTACGTGCATACAGCACACCTGTTATATTCGTTTTGATGAATGCAATTTTTACGAAAGTTAAAAACAAAATTTTATTACATCTGCAATAACATACTCAGACTACATTGTTCATACTTCTTAAATCGAAAGTGACAATCACTTAAAGGATCTACAGGTTTTCGAAATGAAACGTAGAACAGACATTTCCTAACAAAGTACAAATCGGCTTTTCAGATTGATTTTGATATACCCCTTTTCATACATAATTATAAAATAATTAGTTATAAACATTTATCTCTTTTTCTACTTACCAAACATTCTTAGATGCATGTTGGTTATGGGATTGAATGATCCACAGGCTAAAAGCACCACCCTTGTTTTGGTCGCCATTTTCAATTCGTAATTCTCGTCTGGTGTATCATGTGACTGCAATGATCATAAATCATTATTGGCTCATTTCCAACTCAGTTATATATGCATTTGGTCCAAAGCGTTCTTGTTTAGCTAATGGAAAACTTTGATACAAATATTTATGTCTGTGTTAATGAGAGTTATTACTTTTCCGACGTCAATTATGCTAAGTTGTTTACACCTCTCGCGAGAATTGTCCAAAATGGCAGCCTCCATGAAAACGTGAAAAATACACGTGCCTTGTTGAAAATTCGAATTGTCTTCGTAAATGAGCATTCATTCGCAAAACCAGTAAGTTGACCATAATCTATACTTGTTTACGTATGGTTTAAATGCACAGATATAGAGATATGTCTTTATTTTTTTTAGATAACAGTAGAGAAATGCGTTGTTTACATGGTGTATAGAAAAAGTTATTTGCAATCAGATGAACTCAGCCTGTTCTGATAATTTATTCTGAGATCAATATGTATGTATCAAATTAATCAAACAGTATTCTTTTTATTATCATGCTGATATAGGTGTGCGCGTTTATGTAAGGTGAAAAAGGAAAGATGCTTGTTCATCAAATGAGAAACGTGCATACAATATTTAAAATGAAATTTATACTGAGTATACATGTATGTCAGTCCAATTCATCGGTCTTTAGCATTTCTTTTCACGTTTTCTGCATTTACTCAGCCTTACAGCATACCAGTGACTCAAAAATACAGATGATGCTAGAGGCTGGTAATTGGGCTAATATCAATACATTGGTTTAGACGGGGGCGTAGCAATAGTCCGAAGGTTCATTGGTCCGAATATTCACTATAGAACCCTCGGACCAATGAACCCTTGATTAAAAAATCGATGAAAATGTTACCACTTTTCGGACCAATGAACCTTCGGACCAATGAACCTTCGGACTATCGAGACGCCCCCGGTTTAGACACTTCATATGACGTATTCACTTCAGTAATATGAAACGTTTTTTTTCTATTGGAAATCACCAACCACGTCAGTGCACAATTAGTGTGTGTTTGGAGATATATTGGACATTGAGGATGTGCTGTCAGAAAATGACTGAATCATGAAATGCATAATATACATTCAAGTTATTGCATTACTTCAGTAGGCACAGTAAAGATATAATTAATAAGTCAAGTATCATATCTTACTGGCATACATGTATGATACTGATGCAAGCCTAGGTTTAACAAGCTATGATACGATATATATATATATATATACTGAGACAGGTGTCACATGATATTTCTTGGTATTAAGATGTGTGTAAATGATGAAAGTTTGATTGTCATTGTACCAAAAAGGGAATGTTCCAGTGTTGTGATTGTCACAATATGTCTAGTATAAATACACTTTCTTGTTTCTGTTCCAATAGTTTAAATATCAGTATAAAAAAGAAAACAGAATTGGTAACATTTTTATTCCTTGAAAACGTGACTAATGTAGTCGTATGTGCTAAACATATTTTGTTTTGTTAACATGCGCATTTTCTACATTTCTGAAAGATATGGGCAAAAAAAGGAAAGGTGGAATTTCTGACAAGGTGCGCAATACCAAAAAGAGCGATGAAAAGAAAACCAACCCATTTGAGATCAAAGTCAATCGACAGAAGCATGATATTCTGGGGAAAAAGATTGCTAAGTATGATAAGGGAAGACCAGGAGTGGCTAGGTCCAGGGCAATTAAAAAGGTATGTTGACCACTTAACTTGATACCTTGTATTACTCATCATCACGTTTATTGAAAACTGAGTCCATGTCAGTTCTCTTAAATTAACATTGAAGCTTATAAATATGTTGCAGTTGATGTGTGTGATTATGGAAATTCTAATCCATCCTTTGTAAATAACTAATTGAGAGGAGGCAAATCATTTGTGATAAATAAATTGAACCAAAAAAGACTTTTAAAAAAGAAACTACTGTAATATATATGCATACTGTAATATGTAAGTACTGTAATATGTATATTTTTCCTGAAAGACTGATAAAACATTCACATATTCTCCTCTAAAATCATTTTATCTAAAAGCTGTGTTGAACATGCCACTCTTTAATTCAGTTGAATGCCTCCCCCATGCACTATTATTTTAATACATTTCAGAGAAAAGAAACACTTTTAATAGAATACCAAAACAGGGGCAAAGCCAACAAGTTTATAGACAAAAGGTTTGGTGAACATGATACAAAAATGACCCTTGAAGATAAGATGCTGAAGAGATTTGCCCTGGAGAGACAGGTAAGGGGTTGTGTATCTCTGATTCTGTTTCACTCTGTTATACGATAATGACTTGATCTTTTTATTGGGCAAAAATTATTAAACTTTTAGATACATCATTTTAAAATCATAAAAACTATATTTTTGTATAGCATTTGTGGTGCTTTTAATGCATAGAATAGAACTATAAGGTAGTCTGCTTTTTAATTTTGTTGCAACCACTTAATAGGAATGCTCTTATTTTAAGAAATTATGAGGTAAAAAATACAGTATCTGTAGCATTCACAATTTTCCCTCATTAAAAAGATCGAGTCATATAACCGTATTTGCTGTTTAAGTCATACCTCATTGTGTATTGCCTTGCTGTTGTATACTTTGCATCAAATTGTTTAAAACCTATTGAAATTATAATTGAATTTGATGGTGAAGGTGGAAGAAACTATGTCAGCAATAACAAAGAAAAGGTATTTTTTGACAAATGTTGCTTTTGATTAAAATTTTCAATCTGAATATGCTTTCTTTTTGAAAAGAAGGCTTTCATCTTCACTGCTGACCAATTTGCACCTCCAATGTATTACTTTCTCACTCACAGTTTGACAGTATGTCATGCATAAAATACAGGGTTCAATATTCTTTCGGAATGTGTTTCCTACTGCTATATAAAATACTGGTGTAGATTCCCAAGAGTGCTAATGTGATATAGCATGTGAGGAGATAAACATTCCCAGATCAATAGAATTACATGCAGACTGGATTTTTGGGATGTTTTGAGGGTCTGTATTCTCATTTGCCTTTTTTTAGTTTTAACGGGAGAATCACCATCAGTCCAACTCTTAAACAGGTCATTAAAATGATTTTGTAAGATAAAAAGAGAAGAGATTGTTTTTGGAATAGTCTACTGTAATATTTTAAACCTAGATCTCTTTGATGAAAATCAATATAAAATCATTTACAAATTGAAAATTATACATTTTCTTGCACTGTAAATACACTGGAATTTTGTTACCCTTGGTGAAAAAATTAGCACAGGGTGCTTCCTTCATGGCTGTCTATTATATATTCAGCCTTTCTTGCTCCAGTGACAGCTGGATTTGTTTTCTCACAACGCATTTTGTTTATGTAACAGTAAAGCCATGCAGATATATCGTTCAGCATAAGGTATTTGTTTACTGTGTACACTTCTTAATCGGAGAGATGGAAGAGCTCTCTGAGGCTATCAAAAATCCATTGATGGGCAGTAAAATGTCAGTATATTGAACAAAGTACTTTGTAGTAGCAAATTCTATTTAAAACTTCATTAATTGTAAGTGTGCTCCTAATTAAGCTGGATTTTAATAGGGATGCCTTAATGGGAAGGAAATGAATTGCCAGAGTAGAGTCGAGATATTAATGGGAGAACTGGAAAACATGAAATATGAATGGGCTTAGGTTTAAAACATGTCTTTGACTGCAAATGTCATCGTGGAATATTACATGGCATTCTTTTTATTTAGTACTAATAATAAGTTTTGGGGTTTTCAAATGTCAGATTATGTTGTCTGACTGTTTTAATATAAATTGATTATCAAGATGGAGCTGTGTCTAAAAGGAGATTTTAATTGTAATTATATATTCAGTCTCTCTTGCTCCAGTGACAGCTGGATTTGTTAAAAGTGGGTAATACACTTAAAAGTAAAATGTTTGAAAAGATTGTTAGATTTAAGAAAACTGCATAATCCAAGATGAATTTGTTTGATAAATAATTTTTATGAAAGTATCAATAAAGGTTTTGTAAAAAGGTACTGTATGGGACTTTTTTCTACAACCTTTATTGGTATATTACAATGGTTAAGTGTGGGATAATTGGTCCACTGGGGATTGAACCATAGAGATAGATTTATTATGCAAAATTTCCCATTAAACTGAATTTTGGTTGGTACTTCAAGCTTTGTAGTTAGTGGCCAATTTAATACTTTTCCACTTATTGAAATGTTTATGAATAAATATTTCCAAGAACACTTTCATCTCATTCCATATTACTTACAACTTTAGAATTTAAAACATGACATGTTTAAATCAAATAACAAATCAGTCACCAATCTAATTTTTCTGAAAAGAAGAAAACGACAATTATCGCTCCCTTACTAGTAGTCTTTTCAATTTGTTTAACAGCAAATTAGATGTATTCTTTAAATGTTTAAGATGATACTAAGTGCAAATTTCCAAAGGGAAATCTGGTGGTGTTACAAATATTTGAAGGTTTCTGGGGAAGAAATTTATCTCCCTGGCTCAGGATGTCTTGGGTAATACACATCAGCTGACCTTTCTGAGTGATTGATTAAACATGAAATAAATGGATCCTATCACCCTCCTATCCTCCAGCTTGTGAATTGCAATTTCATCAATTTTGGAGAATTACACTAAATTGTACTCATGAATAAGCGATGAATAATATTCCCCATACGTATTGAAGCTTCATAGTAGTACGTATCTTGGTTATAGCACAGCTTCATTTAAATGGCTTGCAGTGTATTAGATATTGAAAAATTTTTTAATGCTGTCTTGTAGTAAAAACATGCAGTGGTCTCTATTTTGTAATTAATTGAAATTATTTTTAAATAATTTTTGAATATAACTATATATATAATATTTTTATATATAATATTTTTAAAAATAACTTTCAAGATAGAAGTTCATACATAAATGAACAAAAATAATGACTATCATCTGTACTTTTTTATATATTTAAGATTGTAATGTAATACAGTTAAGTGAATGAGGTATTTAACATCATGGTAATATCATTATATAAAACTCAATTTCACACCCCTTCGGATATTAGTACAAAAAAGGGAATTAGGTGCAATTATCATATAAACATATAATAAAAACATATATCCTTTTTCATTTTTATGTGTCTGTATGTGTATGTGTGTTTATATAAATGTATAGATGTGTACACGTATATATAATTACCTTGGTACAGAGACAGCTGAAGATACCCATGATGTCCCTGCCTGGCATATGCACACTTAGAAACTGACCCCTTCAGCCTGTTCTATCCAGTACATCTATATAGTCGGTACATTTTCTGTATTTATCCTTATCCTATCCCTATAAGCTACTGCTGTTTACTTCACTTGACCATCTTGGCAAATTAAAGGTTAAACAAGGCCCATATCAACTCCCAATCCATAAAACCCAGCTTGATGCCTCACAGTGCAACTTCTGACTGCTCACACTTGTATATATACATGGGAAGTAATTCTGAAGAAAGCTAATATTGAAGTCCCCTCTAATCAGGTTGTCAGAATGCTCACAGTTGAGCAGTTTGGCCCAAAGGGTTTGGGAATTGCAAGATTATCACATTGATTGACTATACACACGTTGAATATTTACATCCGCAAAGGCCTATTCTTTATTCAAAATGTGCTTTATAGGCAGGGTGTATGTTTTCCAGATGTGAATTATGTGTGTAAGTCTGTCAGCTTTCTGATATGTAGTGGCTGTTGGCACTTGTTTGAAAAAAATAGTGCTTTCGGCACAATTAAGGGCTGCAAACTTGAATAAATGAATAAATTTTGCTTTTTTGTTCACTTTTTTTTTGGTTAAGTTTAAGAAGATATGGTTTATTTCATTTATTATGTTGATCTTTATTTCAAAATGTACCATTTATGTAAACCTGGATAATTTGTTTGTTTTTGGACCTGGTTTCATTTATCCAAAATATTGCAAGTTTATAAATTAGCTGAATACTACAGTTATGAAATATCAGTTTAAAAATCATGTATTGTAAAATCATGTAAAACACTTAGGTGTGAAAGCATTTTTTCTTGTTGAAAATGGGTTGTTAATGAAAAAAAGTCACTCAGAATAGTGCGCAGATACTTTTGATTCATTTATCAACCTTTAAACATATTCTATTCACCTACCTCATCATCTATAGTGATTAATGTGCAACAGTCAGCCAACTCTTCAAAGTCCCCATTGATTGGACCATTCTCTGTCATGGTATCTTCTTTAACCCCTCCAACTCTGACATCTAAACTAGAAGTGATAATCATTGATATGTCCAGATCAGCTTGGTCGGCCATGATGGTGATTCAAGTTTATCAGATGAAAATCACCTCACTCTGTAATAAAATGCTACTCCGGGAAATCATAAAATCCTGGGAATATAAATTCCCTGGAACTCTGAGTGAGACCTTGTGTTATCTTGTCTAATGCAAGCCACAGGTACTCTGAAAATGATTTCCAAGCTCCCTTGTCACTTGTAATTATTGCAAAATGGTTAACTTGGTCAGGCTTTATCGGAGCAATTCACATAATATGGTAGCAGTCGTATGTAAAGTTAGAATTGTGTCACATGCACATATGGTCACAGTTTTTGTTTGAAAACATTTTTGTCTTGAACAAAAAATTCCAATTTTGATAGAAAATGCGTTTTTTTTTTCCCAGCTTATTGTCACTTTAACACTATTCCCTTGTCTGTTCTAAAGTTAGTCCTTGAAATATAATCAGAAAATGAGTAGGAAGAGACTCTTCCGTCATCAGCTTGTTTCTCAACCACATTCTATTTACAGAGTTTAGAGATTGACAGTAGTTTACCTGACAATATTCTCATGGGATGAGGTGTGTTTTAGCCCTTTACTTAATTATGAAGGATTGTGTGGGAGTTGACATGCCTGTAGTTGCATGACATTTAGGATAGATTAGAGCAACACATTTAGGATAGATTGAGAATGACAGAAAGTGTATTGATATGATTATTGACAATTGCTTATAGGAAAGTTAACCATACATTGCTGCGGTATAACTTCCTCATATAATAGAGCACGGCAACTGTAAGGATGTAATATATGTAAATATTGTTTAATTACTTGGTAGCTTAATGTAATATACATAACTCATTTACATGATGCTAGGGCCAAAAATATATTTATTTTCTATCCTTGCATGATGTTAAGGTCTAGTAGATCCTTTTCCTTCCAAGAAAACTAATTGATTTTCCCCCTCATTAGCTACAGTCAAACACAAAATGTGCAAGTAATAATCTGTCTTTGTTAATAATCAATGAAAAAGAAGACTGAAAAAATTTTTTATATCAAGCTGTTCAAGTGAAATGAGCAATTTAGTTTTGCGTGATGCTAAATTCTTAGACAATAGACATATCAGACATATAGCAGAATATTTTGTCTATTTGCTAGATGAGGTATGACAAACAGAAAGTGAAGTACAGGTAGCTGATTAATAAAGTGTATTAGTCAAAGGATTAAGTGACCAATTATTGATAATTGCATGGGTAATGAAAGCAATGTAATATTTGGAGGAAGCATTGTCACATATAGAGCTACATGCTTTCAAAATCAGACACGACACTGCAGATAATATTATGGCTTTTGTTCACATTTCATCTCGAACTCCATAACTCCCGACAGTGGAAAAAAAAAGAGCCACATGGGTCATTTTGCTTGGTAATAGTTGTTCTGACACTGTCTGCGTTAACTGTGGGGCACAATGGTCGATAGAACATTACATTAAAGAGGGGGAACTATCATGATGAATTGCAAATAAAACACTGACAAATTCACAGTTTGTGTTCCATCCTAATGAGAGATGGCAAGGTTAATGGAAGAAAGCGCTATATAACTGACTTAACCGATGCCATGGAAACAAATTGATTTTGACCTAGCTTGTGAATTGCCATGTAATAAAAGAAATACCATGAGTTTAGCTAGTTAACACCTTCAGCTTTGAATCTTTTTCAGTAGGTGGCTTAATGTGTCTTTCCTATATTTTGAATTGGTTAATATCTGATGCCGTCCATTACCACATCTTCAGATGAAATTATTTGGTTTTCTGCATTAATCATATGGTTGCTTCAAGAATGCAATTATCCTCTGTAGTCTAAGCTTCCTATTGATGGCATAAACTTAATTTTGTTTTCTGGTCTCTTATTTGCATTCAGGTTGAAAAAAAGAAAATACAAAATTGATAAGTAGGGAAAAGCATCTGCATGAAGAGTCTTTTTAGCATATGTGTAAAATTCATAATGTTACATGTTATTTCTTTGAAAAATATATTTTCTGAAATTTGACAAACTTATTTCAACCAAAAAAACATTTCTAAACAATAAGCAGACGTTGAAAACTTACTAGTACACTGACAGTAGGAATTAAGGTTTAGAGATCACCCTTTTTTACCTTATAATAAGGTCATCAATGGCTGTGACATTGAAAAAGTAGGTGACAGCCATTGCTACTGCTCAGATATTTTCATTTTTTTCCTGGCACACAATCCTGGGCACTGGTAGAATTCTGCTCATAATATTGAATAAAACCAATGTAAGAGAGGAACGCTAAATTTACTTGACATAAACCCAATTACCTTAATCTATTTTTATGGATGGAGAGCATCCTATGGCTGAAGTCCTACAAATCCACTCTATCCAAGTAAGATAGAGTGCCAAATTCAATTTTCAATATGGTGGATTAGTTCTTGGCAAGTATTCTCAAAGAGACAATACAATTGTTAGAACCAAACGACCCCCTAATTGAAACTGAACTGCTCCATAAAATGATTATCTCTGTGATCCATGTCTGCATCTAAGGCATGTTATGGTTTTTGAATGAGCAACGTCTTTGTTTAAAGACCAAATTTCAACAAGATTAAATGAAGAAATGTTTTAGTTTTCAACAACGATATATTCCACATTATTTTTCATTAACTAGAAAACACAAGACAAGCCCAGTTCATTTAACCTGAATGAGGAAGAGGAAGAGCTCACTCATTATGGTCAGTCACTTTCAAGGATTGAGAAGTTTGAAGACCCTGTGGACAGCGATGAGGATGAAGAAGAATCTGGAAAAATATCTGGTAAATCTGAGATGTTTGTAAATAATAATCTACATAGAGTCATGTTTTTTTAAAGTGAAGTGATCCAGAACTAATAAGAAATATAAAGATCATCCAGAATATGCCAAATGTTTTAGATTATTTTTAATTATTTAAAGATGAACTTACCCTTGATAATTTTCCAACAATGTGGAGAAAAACATGTTTGCAGGATAGGTAATGTTTTAATTTCCTCATTCTGACATTATGCACAATTCTGTGATTGATAGTACAAGAAGTGTTTCTCCACACTGCCACTTCAGTTCTTTCCCTCACAGGTTTATTTAAGGATTCAGTTTCATAACATTTCCTTTTCATTATATCAGCTGAAAGCCTTGACAAGCCTTTGAATGAAGAGGTTGAAGAGTTTACTAATGACTAACAGTTTAAGCCTGATGATTAATGAATACAGAATAATTATGCCTGTCAATTTTAACCCACCTCCTACCTGACGTGTCACATTCAAAACTATAGCCTTTTGTATAAAGCTAAAAGGAAAATGTTTATTCTGTTATATCGACATCCATTTTTATCAATTGAAAATTTTTCTCTTCACCAGGTGATCTTGTAGCAGATGAACATTTTGGTGGATTCTTAACCAAGAAATCAGATGAGGAAACTAATAAATCTTGGAAAGAAAGGATGGAAGAACTTATTGTCAAGTCTAAAAAAGAAAAGGTGGTTTAGATATTGCTCATAGGAGGCTTTACAATTTATACCATGCAGTTGATATTTTCACCTATTGCTTTAAAAGCTTGCATAAGATATGAGTGTATTTCAGGAAAAATATGTTCATTAAGCATTTTCAATTAAGGGAATCTTGTCATTAATTCAAGTTTCACATAACTCTTTATTCATGTTCTTTAGTATGAGCGCAAAACAGAGAAAGAGAAGACACTTGAAATGACAGAAAAACTAGATGAAGAATGGAAAAGTCTTAGGCTTCTAATGGGAGGATCTAAGGTGACTGTCTTCTTTGTTAATAATTACATATTATCACTGCTTACCCAGGTCAGTACTTTCCAAGAATTACTTGTCCAATGCTGTTCAGATACTAAATTATCTATGATGTGTCACTATCTTTATAAAAACAATATTTGGCAAGAAACCTGGAAATTTAGATCTGCATAAGATAGCACTTTATTTTAATCATATCATTCTGTATTCTTATTCTGACACATAAAGGGTTTATCACACTTGGAAAAATATGATGTAGCTTAAATAGGGCTTGGGCACAATGAAGTTAAAAATTTTCTAGGCAGCTAAAAAATCACATCCTGGAGTTGTGGTTCACATGTTTGTATAAAGTGCAGCAAAATCGTTATATTGTACAAATGCTGAAGAAACACTGATAGAATTGAAGTTGATATAATTTGAGAATGACTGTAAATGCCTTTCAATGTGGCAACTGCTGAGGTGAAGTTGTTAGAAGTAAAGAATCTTTATGGTTTGTTGGCAGTATTTCAGATCAACAAATATACAGGTTAGTAAATTGCATCAGTTTGACCTTGTTAATTTTTCAAATCAGATAGTGATTTTATCCCAGAATCTCAAATATTTTGCAGCATAAAGATGATGCACAAGCCCCAGCAAAGAAAGCAGATGACTACGACATAACAGTGAGAGAGTTAGCCTTTGAAATAAAGGGCAAGGTCAGTATAAGAGGATGGCACCTTATTACAAGTGACATCTAGTTGAACATCTTAATGCATGTTCCTTTAACCCTTTCAGGTGACCATTGTCATCATTTGTTAATTTTAAAGATAGTAAACATAGAGACTGGGCTCAAATTTGGATGTAAATTATGATAATTGCAATTTACCAAAGTTTTAGCTTTAGCTAATGGTATGGAAACAACAGTGTAATGCAATATTCTATATTGCCTATAAGCAGTTAATATAATGTTTAAATTATTCAATTTTGCAGCCTTCTGACAGATTGAAAACTGAGGAGGAGCTAGCTAAAGAAGAAAAGGAACGGCTAGAAAAATTAGAAGTAAGAAGATTAAGGGAGTGGCAATTACACAAATTATGTTGCCAATGCTGTCATTCACAAAACCATTATATTGATTAAAATCTAAACTGTATTATAATATATTGCTTTATGCTATTATATGCAACACCTAACATATATGTTTTTCTTTTTCTTTGGTTGAATTGTTTATAATTTTACTCTTGTTTTAAGGCAGATAGGTTGAGAAGAATGAAAGGTGTATTTCCAGACGAAGAAGCTGAAAAGAAACAAGTTCATTTTTCAGCAGATGATCTGGATGATGGGTGAGTCAGACAATGTACTTACACATTTTTATGAAGTATTTTGTTTTCTATTATGGTATTCGGTACCATTGTAAAGGAATAATTATTTTTATGCAATATTGCTATCCATTAAAAAGCTATATTATTAGATCTATTTACATTTTTGGGGCAAATGGTTTTAATACACTTCTGGCAAGACATGGATTGTAATTTTTGACGCTGAAGCAGAGCACTGATGATGTCTTTGCAACAAAAAGTAACTTGGTTACTTGGAGAGCAGTCACAATAAATTACTTTCTTAAGATATTTTTATTTTCCTTCAGGTTTATCCTTAACAAAGAAGATGAGGAAAGGTTCCATGTGAGCTACAAAGATGGCCAACTTTTGACACCCTTTGGGAAAGATCAAAGTGAGCTGGAGGATACAGAGGAAGAAAAAGATAAGGATGATGATGACGATGATGATGATGATGATGATGATGATGAAGATGGGGAAGAAGAGGAAAATGGAGAGGAGAATTCTGAAGAAGAAGAGTCTGGAGGGGAAGATAACCACTCAGATTTAGAATCTGGTGATGAAGAAGGAGGAGAAGAGGAAGAGGATGTGAAAGAACCTTCCAAGCAGCAACAGGCAAAAACAGATATTGTAACAGATTTAAAGGTACTTTTGTTTCTTTTTTTTTAAATATAATCATACCCATCATTGTGCAAAGTGTTCTCCAAAATGTAAGACTAATTTAGATTTTCTGTCTGATTTTCTCCATAATTTCTCTGGAGTTAATTTTTGTTTACTTTCAGAAAAGAAAAAAGGTAATGGAAGAAGCAAGAAAGGAATTACCTTACACGTTTCCAGGTAGGGTAGAAAATGCTTGGTTTCCCAAATTGTTCTAGATGTAATTAGATTGCCTTTTGTTGAATGCTGCTGAGAGTTCAGTCTTGATGGCCTACTTTTTGCCAAATTTTGTTTCATGAATCAACAAATAACTCCACTGAAACATTTGTATTCATATTCAACAATTGGCACAATCCTTCCTTTTCCTATTTGTTACTGATTGGTGATGGAAAGGTACAATTGATTATTCTCAGAAGCAGTATTTATTTCCTGAATGTTTTCAATCCTGTCTTTTTCCGATGATATAAATAAACAAGCTTGTTACTTTCTGTAACAGTTTTATTTCTCTTTTTAAATTTCTTCAGTCCCTTTAACATATGAAGAGCTAGTTGACATGCTGGAGCCTTATGATGCAGATGACCAGCTGACTGTGATACAGAGAATAAGAAAGTGTCACCATCCTAGCCTAGCAGAGGGCAATAAAGAAAAACTAGAAGTATGGTTTTATTATTGAAACCTTGTGTAGAATTATTACTTATTTCAAGATTTGTTGAGTGTAATGTTTTCAAAAAGTGTTGATCAATGTAAGTTGATTTGTCTACCCCAAACAGGCTTTAAAAGTTACTATAATAGGTGCATTTCAAAAATTAAAAAATAAATATGTAAACAGTATATTTTAAATTTTTTGTCTTTTTTACTTATAGATGATTTGTCACACTATATAAGGTTCAAGTAACAGTAACTGCCAAATTGCTTCATAAAATGGAAATATTTTATTTTACTTTTCAGACTTTCTTTACAGTCCTACTGCCTTATCTGGGTGATCTGGCCTCACAAGAGGAGCCCATGTTGAAGTCTATCAATGCATTAATTTCCCATTTGTATGAGTTGTGCCAGATGTCTCCCATAAAAGCTGGACAAGCTGTTAGGGACTTGATGGAGGAGAAGCAGGATGAGTTTTCACAGTATTGTCAGAGGAAAGGGGGGAGGGGAATTTTCCCCAAGTTAGATATGGTGAGTAAATCACTGCTTGACTGTTACCAGTTATCACTGTACATTAAGTGTGTGATATGTCTTCACGTTTCAAAGATATACTATCTGGTTTTCTGAAACAATGGCAAGCCAATATTCTTGTCACCTGTCTCCAAATACTATGGCATAGTGACCAGAGATTGTTAGAAACCACTATGTAAAAAAGGAAAAAAATATATAAACTTAAATAGAAACATCTCATTCACAGTTTTTCACAGCTTTTTCATGATATAAGTAGTTGCCAGTTGTCCAAAATTGAGTGGCCCTCATTGATGTTCAGTAGGACCACAATTTCAGTTACATGCTCAAAATTTTTATAAATATGTTTGGTGGTTTCTGTTCTCTTAAAGGCTCCTCCTTTGACTAAGTTCAAGGTTCCATGCATCCTTTCATAATAAAAGTATAATTACCATAATACTGAACTGAAACATTGTTACTGCTTTCTCTTTTTCAGGTGCTTTACTTCAAATTAGTGAGTCTCCTGTTTCCTACATCTGACCTGAAGCATCCAGTAGTTACCCCCACCATGTTGTTCATGGGGCAAATATTAGCAAAAGTGAGAGTTAATACCTCGATCTGGATAAGTTCAAATAAATGTTTTGTCATTGTGAAATTGAATGGTATTTCATGCCTGAATACACTTCTTCTTCCTTAATTGTTTTTGTTTTACTGCACTGTACATGAGAATTATTGAATATTAACTTTTAATAGTAGTTCAACTGAATTTATGCATTACAATTTACAAAAAATATTTAGTTTTTTTTTTTTTTCACTTCCAGAGTCCTGTGCAATCAAACCGAGATATCTTTGCTGGTCTGTTTATCTGTACTTTGTTCTTAGAGGTAGGTGAAATGAAAGCCAAGCATACATCATGTACTGTCATTATCAAAGATATAAAATAAGACATAACTTGGATTAAGATTGGCTGAAATTCTAAGACATATTACTATTAGCTGGTACACTTTGTTAGCTACCATTATTAGAGAGCAGTTGGGATTGAATGAAAATTTTCCAGGACTCTTCATCTATTTTTTGTTACATTTGTTTTAGTACATTTCCCTTTCCAAGAGGTATGTCCCTGAAGTCATAAACTTTTTAAGGGGTCTGCTTTTCCTAGCTTCGAAGAAGGATCCCAATAAATGTAAGCATCACTTAATATTTGTTGGAAGTGAACATAATTGAAATGAATTTTAAGTATGGAAGCCTAAATTATAGGAATGGTATAGACCATTTTTGAACACATCGCATTGACTCTCTCTTTATGTAAACTTGTCTACATTAATTATAATTGAAGAAAAATGTACTTTCAATCAAGTTGAATTATTTCTTTCAGTGGAAGATGTTGTCCATCCTTTTAAACCTGTTGGGAAGGTAGATCTGCTTGAAATAAAGGGAAAAACTGCGAAGTAAGTTGTTTTCATATGAAAGTTATTTTTCTTGCTTAAATGTGGTTCTCGATACTTTTAAAAAACGATTCTGTTAGATATTCATTTTAGCTTTAATAAATATATATATTATCCTGTCACACTTTCAGGTCAGTTGAAATCAAACCATTTACAATATCCCAAACGTTTGCCTGCAAAGACTTGCGTCAGTTAAGCACAGATGAGTTTAGGTGAGTTTTGAAATATTGTGTCGCTGTTATACTATTAAATATTCATAAATAAATTAATGTAAGTTCAGAGAAACAACTAGGTTAAGCCAGTACCTAAAAAATAAGAGCACAAGACTTTCTTAAGTCCCCCTTCCCCATTAATCATTTGTTTTAATTGGCTTGATAGTAGTTTTATTATGTGATGTGTAAAATTTTGCCGGTTTTTATTTAAAAATCATATTTGTATTTATTAGGATTTCTTTTGATTCACTAGGGTTTGTGCAACATGTCAGTCCCTACGGTTGCTGCAGGAGTTTGCAGTATTATATGAAGATCTCCCTGCATATAAAGAAATCTTCCAGCCACTCAGATATATATGCAGTAAACTTCCTACAGAAAAGTACCCAGAAAAAGTACAGGTATATATATGATAGTTGAAAAAATTGATAATGCAGTATCAACTCACATTAATATTGAACTTTTTTTTTGGCAAATGTGTCTAATTACCAGAAAAGCACAGTATTATTTCATAACTTCATTCTATCCATCAGAGTGCAGAATAAGTAGAAAGTACAATGGCAAATTTTTAGAGCAGCCAAAATGCTTGGATGCTAAATATGTATAAAATAAAAGAGTTAAGTGTTTCAATTGGTCTTAGATTTTTAGCAGTCATAGATCTGTCATAGATGTTGGCATCACTTATGAAAGCTTAACTTTCATTCTGTTCTGATATCAGAAACAGGTCAGTGATTTGATTCAACAACTTGAAAAGAAGAACCAAAATACAAGAAACAGTTTAACCATGCAAAAAAGGCCACCACCCATGCTCAAGATGTTTGAGCCAAAGATAGAAGAAAGGTAAAGTCTTTTATCTCAGTGGCTTTTTAAGGCTTTTCAACAGTGGCAGTATGAACAAAAACCTGACACATAAACAGCCACTTCTAAATCAGAGTTTATTATTGTTATTATTAGGGACACTGATGAATTTGGTAGAAACAAAACTGGTGCCTGGATTCTTTGTTTTCATAGTGCTTTCAAGATTAAAGTAATACATATTTATGGAGAAAATCATATACAGCATTGTCTGCTATCTCTAGCATATTTAGGATTTTATTATTTAGCTTTGATGGGAGGAAGAAAAGGGGTGGCACCCGTGAGTTCAGAGACAAGCAGAGACTGCTTCACAAGCACAAGAAAGAGATGAAATCTGCTGTAAGAGAACTGAGGAAAGATTCTCAGTTCTTGGCTAGACAAAGGTTGGAGGAGAGGATGAGCAGGTGAGCAAAATGCACAGAAATATTGCAAATCAGGTCTTCACAAATGGAAAATTTCTTAAGTTATTTATCTTTAAGTTGATTTGTCAATAACTGTCTTTTTTGTTTTAAGCAGTAACAAAGAACATGACATATAATTTTTTTTTTGTTTTAACCAGTAACAAAGAACATGATATATAAAATTATATATTAAAAAGATAATTTTATTTAATCAAAAGACATGCTCATACAGATATATTTGTACATAGATGTGACACTGAGGTTCAATAAAGCTGCCAAAGTCACATTTTGCTAAAAAGTTGGACACAAATATTATACTTGCCTTATCATGAATCTTATTAAAATTTATGGATTGTAAATGTACTTATATTAATTTTTAAACTCCAGGGATGCTGAAAGGAAGAGGAAAGTGAAGGAAATCTATGGCATGTTGGCGAGTCAAGAGGGGGAGTTTAAAGCCATGAAAAGGAAAAAAGATAAACCTGTGATATGAAAGAAACTGGAAGCTGAGAGAAATTGGTACCCAGCATTTTAAATAGGTTGTTGAGAAACACCAGTTGAGGTGTGATATCCGTGTAGGTAATGCCACAGGTCTGCAGGTACTCTGTGCTGTATTAACTCTGGGGCCGGTTTCACAAAGCAGTAGTTAGTTAGAACAACTAACTACTGAACTACCTCGCTAACGAGCATACTAAGCGATTTTCGAGGGGTGTTTCACGAAGCAGTCGTTAACTCATCGCTAAGTTCAGTCGTAAAGTTCGGTCGTTAGTTCTCTCGTTACTCACTGTAGTCTCGAAACCGTCTGCCGGAAGTGGAACTCTTGCGTAATAGTGTCACGAAAGCACTAACTCTCCAATTTTTGGTGGCTGGAAATGCATAAGAACGTCTGCTTTGAGGTCGTCGTAAAGGATCTCCACCACCTTTTTGCCGCTCTTTTTGTCACAGCTAGGCGCAACCTCTCGTAAATTGCATCATCGTGTGTATATTCTAATATATTCTGCCTTTCATGAAAACGTCGTAGTCTACGTTGCCGTCTGGCGGTACGGATAGCAAGAAAAGTAGCCGCCATATTGGATACAAAGACAAACGACAGATAACGGTAACTAAGCAACCTTTTTATTTCACTCATTACGCATGCGTACGATGAAACTCTAGAGTTAGCGACTGGTCTGACCAGTCGTTAAATATCCAAGGCAACAACGAGACAATAACGAGCGAGAGAACTAGCGACTGCTTCGTGAAACGGCACTACAACTAGCGAGAGGCTAACTACCGATCGCTAACTAACTACTGCTTTGTGAAACCGGCCCCAGTGCAGACCACAGTCACAGTGACAGTCTCAAGTACTGGCATTATTTTTTGAAGACTCTTTGGTAACTGTGTGGTTATGTTGCACCATTTGGCAAAGGTAATTTTCGGAGAATTTGCAGTGATTAATGTGAAAATTTTCAAATAACCACCAATGTATACAAAATGAGGCTCATAGGCTCTAAAGCATGGTGCAGGAGTTTAACAATGTAGTTTTACCAAGTTAAATTACAAGTCAATGAAATATGAAAACATTTTTACCACAAATGTGGCACTTACTTTAAGACTATAATACAATAACCAAGTAGAATGTTAACTCAATATTTATTTATTGACTGAAGAAAATTAAATGCCCAGGGCTACCTTTCTTTTATATTTTGTTTTAAATTTATTTTCTCAATTTACTGCAAATGTCTGTACAGTGTGTTCTATTTTGTGGAGCTGCTGTAATAAACGACTGAAAAATCACACAAGTACTCAATTTTCCTTAAATTTTGGTAGTGGCCATTCAAATCCAGCATCATAAACCAATAAGTTTGCAAGTATTTTTGCAAACCTCCCAGTTTTCAATTCAAAAGGCAATTGAGAAGTTGGATGAATAATTTGCATAGAGTAAAAAATTCTTTAAAAATAATAACTGCTGCCTTGGAATTCTTGCAAAAACAAACTAGTGCTTATGTAACTTCTGCAGCAATGATGGACTGAATTCAAATAAGTCTCTATGTCTTGGTTATTATCAGCCAATTCTACTGACATCCAGCACACAGAATGTTGCTCTGCACATGGGGCAAGGTGCTTTTCCACTTAGCCACAGCTCTGGTTTCTGTTGATCCTGCCTGCTGGCAAACCATTTGCCCATACAGTCTATACACCACAGTGGCCTGCAGTAACACTGCTTGCACTCTCCTTCTTCTGGCTGATCACATAGCTTCTGTAGCTTTGTATTGGCTGGAACCAGCATGCAGCCAATACAGGAATCAAGTTCCTAAAAAAAGAATTTTAAATTATTCATTTATTTACCCATTTGTTTATTAACAATGAGTAATATCAAAATCTGTGTCATTTTAGCAATTGACTATTTAATGTAAACTTCAGTCAAAGAAAACATAGACGCAAAATAAATACATAAAAAAATAACATCACAAGTACACTACTTTTAAATTTGTGATGTTTCAACTATTCTTTTCTTTTTAATTTGCCAAGTAATGATAAAATATGAACATTGCAATGCATCCTTTGCAAACCTACCACATCCTGTGCCACATTAAACCTTGCATTCTTGTCTATCTGTTCTTTAAAAGCAAGAAGAAATCTGTCTCCTAGGGACTGATGGATTACTATCTCACGGGCATTGCGCACTGGAGCTTGAAGCTTCTCCTTCAGATCTCCATACTCTAGGGAATTTAACCTGCAAAAATAATTTTTTATAGAAATGTAAAAATGATCATTTCAAAATTAAAGTGGCAAAAAGTGCATTTCTTGTATAAATACAGATACAAGTAATTTCTTTAAAAAATCATTCACATTTGACATTAACCACTGCTCAGTCTAAAGTTCACTGCACCATTTACAAGTTCAATAAAACTCATAGAAGGAAATGCATTATTCTTTTATGCTCTTTACCAGAGCAGGATAGGTTGCTCTTTAACAAACAGTATAGGCCATACTTGACACCATTTGTTATAGGCAAAGGCTCACCTGATCACAAAAGACTGAACATGTTCATTGATAGAATCAACAGTGATATTTAGAAACTGGACTCCCTGGAAACTTTCTGGCGAAATCTCATGTTCCTCAGCACCGCTCAGTGTTAAATGCATGTCTCTTTGATGTGCAACATTAAGATGGTATGCTGCTGTCTGTATAATCCATGAGTCTGTCACATACAATCTTCTACCTGGTACTCCAGATGTAAACTTGTTGATTCGGCGGAACTCAACATCAATAGAGGATGCAACTGCTCTCCATGAATCCCCGTTTCCTAGATAACCTAAATTTTTGGCTATTGGATGGTTGTTCCACTTTTTCAGGGACCAGAAATATGCCAGCAGACATACACAAAAAGGAATGATAAGGGAGGCAGCAAGGTATATCTTCCAGTAGAAACTTGCTCTGTGGAGATGATATAAGTGCAAGTCTTGTATGGCAAATCCTATAATGAAGTAGTATCCTAAAATGACAAAAATATACATTTATCATAGGACGAATAAAACAATAAAAGTGCCCAGGTCTTATCTTGGCCTTATTTTATTTCAGAATAAAGTACAATAGACTGATTAGTATGAGTTAATTCTTCGTTAATATATTTTCGAAATCTTTTCTTAGGTAACAAGTGTCAATATATGAGTGCTTACCAAGAGGAATAAAGGAATGAATGATAGCAGTGGCAGTAGTTCTTCTGATGTGGTAATAGATAAAATTCATTTCTTCACTGCCAAGATAACTGGACAACAGATTTTGCACAGTAAGTCCCCCATGAACAAATTCTGATGGTGGCGCAACAAAACAAGCCGCTAGCATCCAGTACACCAGAGTAACCAGCCAGTATTCTGGCCCGTATACAACGGTTGACATTTCAGAGACACTTAAGAGAAAACATTACAAAAAGATAATCGCATTCATGTTTTGCAACACGTTATCACTTATTGACGGAAGCCATCTCTTATATAAGGAGGAAAGAATCTCTGAACATGAGCATGCGCATTTGTTATTTCTTTCCACATAAGAATGGCGCCGTTGAGTTGGGAACAGCTGGATAAGGGTGCTTATTTTCTGAAATAACGAGTCGAATCAGTTTTTATCACTCTCAAAACAAGCACAATGTCTAGGCATAGGCATGTGCGTGGCATGAACTTTCATGACGGTAAGTGTATGAAGATTTTTCACTGCGCAAGCTTGTTGTTTACATATGTAGGATGGGGAACATTTCCAACGTAAAATAAGTTTCTAAATCCTGCAACGTGTACACTTGTAGTAGGAGAGGCTGTTATAAATAAACATTTAATTTTAAGGTTTATGTTCTTTTTGCGTTGATAAAGAAAAAAATAATGTGTATATGTTTTCGTAATTATGCAGTTTGAAGTAACATGTTCTTCTCTGATAATGGCAAATCCGAACATATGATTTTCCCTATATATTTTCATAGCTTTTTATTTTTATTAATTATTTACAAATATTGTAAGGGGTGTACGTACTTTTTATATACAGACCAAAAGTATTATGACAACATATATGAATTCCTTGCAGAGTGTGAGCATGAAGATGACATATATGGTCATTCTATTGAAGATGACTACTGTATTTCACCTGGCACAGGTAGGAACAACTGTGGCATTCTGCTCTGCAAGTCCACTGTGTACAATTGTAAATTTACCATGGATATTGTTTAAATTATGTAATAAGTTAAGTTGTGTGTGTCAAAATCATGAGATGGGGCAAATATTCATTCAAATTTTGTGCAAAATGTGTCATTGGTCACCCATTCAAATGATATATGAAAACTCTAAGTGTGTGTGTGTGTGTGTGTGTGTGTGCGTGCCTGTTTTTTTTGGGGGGGGGAGGGAGGCAGAAGGGATATATTATAAGTGGAATCTTTGCTTTTTTTTAGCTGCCCAGTTTACATTTGACCGCAACCAAGGCCATTCACTGTCAGCCTTCATGTCACAAGATGATATTCCTGAAGAAGAGGAAGGAAGTGAGAGTGACAGTCCAGATCCCTTAAATGATTCCAGAAACTACAGGAGGCCCCTTCTAAATGATGTAGATGAAGGTACCTAAATGTTTTATAAGGTGTAAATTGAATGTTAATTCATCCTTGAATCAAATACAAATTTATTTATTTTAATACTTACATATACATTAGAATGCATATCCTTTCATTTTTTGCAGCTCGTTTGAATTCTTGCCTTGATGGTATAAGAGATGTGATGGGTGAAGCCTTTCCAGAGCATGTGCTTGTGGAAGCTGTTCTCAGCAATGGATTCAATATAGAGAAAGCTCTGAATGCACTCCTTACAAAGCAGTCAAGTCCAGGTTATTCACTTTCTCTTTAAAATTTTTCATATTGAACATAAAAATCTGCTTGGCAAATAAATTTACATATCAAGTTATATCAAGAAGTATCTTAGTATTATACTATAGGCATTCCTGCATCTAGATATGATGAAAGGTGTATTAACACCATGATCATGATTAATTTCAGTTAAAGAAAAACCTCCAGAGATTGCTCAAGAGCAGAGAAAATTTCGAGGTAAGACTAGTCTGACTGTTGAAATTATAGACATATTGTTTGATCAAATAGAATTTTTTTTTATTGTCACAAGTAGGACTTGAATGTTTGGCACCTTTCATTTTTCCCCGTCAATTATTTAGTAAACCATTTATCATCTTGTGGTATGTTTATTTACTGTAACACTAACAGTGCATGTGCTCGTGTGGAGATGACAGACAAACTCCGCTAATATAATGCCCTTATGTTTGTTTTTCATGTGCACTTTTACTTTGTCTGCTGCTGCCTGATTGGATTCCATGGTATATTGTTTGCTTGGACTGTGGCTCATCTAAGGTAAGATTCATCTGATATTACTAAAAATCTATCTCTTGATGCTCAATCCATACAAGATATTAAAACACAAAACACAAACACTTCAAATGCTAACAATGCAATCCAAAGTGGTCTTATAAAGCCCAAGAAACTTGACTTTTGGGGTGGTTTAAAACCTGACTCACCAGTAGGCAACAGAATCAACACTAAAGCCCCTACTTCCACCAGTAATGTATCTCTGGCAAAGACCCAACCAGAAATTCAGAATAAAGGTGGAAAGAGTGTACTCTCTCAGCTTGCTAGCCAGCATACTCAAAACACCACAGATGGCAATTCTGTGCTATCACAACTTGCTACACGGCATTTTCAAGCTAAAGACATTGGGCAGCAGTCAACTCTGTCACAACTTACTGGTGCAAAACTGAATGGAAGTCCAGCACTGTTTAATCTTCCTAATCAACAATCAACTTCTAATTCATCTGGACAGCCATCATTATCACAACTGGCTTCACTGCACTCTAAAACTAGTAAAAGTGGGAATTCTACGTTATCACATCTTGCTGCTCAGCATTTGGAATCTAACGTGGTTGGGGGTCCCTCCCTATCCCAGCTTGCTGGCCAACACTCCAAAACTGTTGCATCCAGTCAATTGCAGTTTTTGCAGTCTCCAAACCCTACTCTTCAATCAAAAACACAAGGGGAATCGAACCTTTTTCAAAATATGTCAGTGCTGAGGCCATCCCCCCAAGTGCCTTCGACTGGTATAAAAGATGTGGTTACAAAATCTTCAGATGGTTCTCAAGTTATAGACTTGACATCTGCTGTGCGTAAGAAAGATCAAAGAAATTTGACTGGGCAAACTACTCAGAGTTCTATTAAAGAACCCAAGTCACTGATGTTTACAAAAATTGAAAAGTCACTGAACAAACCTGCTGTTGGTATCAAATTACTGTTATCAGAACTCCCCAAAAACATTTCAAAGTACTGTTCAAAACCCTCACAATTTGGGAAAACTATAGTTTGCTCCCACTGTGGAAAGCAGAAGCCAGGTCGAACAAATAACAGACAACTTAAAAAGTTTTGTTTTGCAAAACAAATGACCAAGAATCCCACTGCTCAAAATTTGAAACACATAAAATTATTTGATTTCTCGACCCCTTCACCAGATGATATTGTTAAAGAAAAGCAGAAGGGAGCATTTGGAAAGCAGAAGTTGACAGACAGTAAGTGGCCTTGAAGTCTGAGATGCTATAATTTTCTCTATTCTGCTATGTATTTATTTTCATGTTTGAACCTCTCCCTCTATTTAGGAATTATTTTCTTAAGGACAGTTTTTTTTTTCATTTAATTCAAAATACAATAGCTAAAAAATGTTTAAACAGAACCCTTGGCATCTATACCCTACTAAGTAGAAACGTCTTGTGATAATAGTTTTCTATTCACAAGCTGTCTGGTTGCAAATGTATCATTATAAATTGCCTTCGTTTCCCTCTTTTTGTAGTTTGAAAGTTTGATAGTTTACTTAAGGTTGTTGAAGTTGTTTTTACATTGCTGAACCAGGGGTGCCTAATATGGGTTTTAATTTTTATAACTTATATTCATTTCAATTCAGTTTTTAAAAGCAGCCTAAGATTAACTTTTCATTCAGGAACCAATCTCAATACAGAGTTCAAATTAGACAAACCACCTGCTGGAGATGATTGGCATCAGAAAAATATCCAGGTCAAGGACAATGAAATTGAGGTCAAGGCCAATGATCTGGCCAATGGATCTGAAGGAGTGAGGATGACATTTTCTAAGACAGCAACACCGGCAAAGGGTTTCACTCTAAAAGACAATGACAAAAAAGCAGGTTTAGGTTTAGCTGGAGGCGACTCTGACAATGTGGATAGTGACAAGGAAGAGAAAGTAAGAAATGCCAATGTTGAGGCATCGCCACTGAGGGGCAGCAAGGCAGTTGATGGGGCTTGTGCAACTCCTGGAATTACTAGGAGTGTTTCCAGGTATTTTTCATTTCCCTTTGTTTCAGAAAAATTTAGAATCGGTTTACTCAGAAACAAAGTAACTTGAGTCTGCTTGTACAGATTTGTACAATACTGTCCGAGTTTCTGTATTTCAGCTCTTGCTACTTTTGCAAGTTTAGTAATTTTGCCAAAGATGATTATATAGAATGGATAAGTATGATTTTGTTGCTTTTATAATGCTATTTTGCCAAAGGGCACATATTGGATCAAATATGACCTGGCTGAAAGTTATTCGTTTTAAAGAAAAAAGGCTAGGTTGTGTTTAAAATGGTACAATATTAATTTGAGGATATGATTTTTTCTTTAACTAATTTTGTTCTAGGACCAAACAGGATAAAGTTGATGTCCAAAAAGAGATAGAGAAAAGAAAAACAGGAAAGGAATTGCTAAATTTGGTTGTCATTGGTAAGTCTAAATTATGTCTGTTAAAGTTGAGAAATGGCAGTATTGTGGTGTAGACAGCAAGCTTTGATTTATAGTTTTTGTTGGCATAGGTTATTTAAACCAAGATTACAAAAGAATTCATCTCACCATAACAAACTGTAAAGTGGTTACTGTTACTTTAGTTTTGAAGATATGTAGGATTGTAAAAAAAATAAATAAATAAATAAATTTAAAAAACCAGCATATTTGGTGAAATATTGATATGTGATGAAATTGCAAATTGTGTCCTTTTTTAAATTCACCCATTTTATTATTTTTATGCCTCCAGGTCATGTGGATGCAGGCAAAAGCACTCTGATGGGTCATCTTCTGTATCAACTTGGTTTTGTGAACAAGAAACTTATGCACAAGTATGAACAGGATTCAAAGAAGATAGGCAAAGCATCGTTTGCATATGCTTGGGTCCTTGATGAAACAGAGGAAGAGAGGTAGGTGTGGCACAGCAAGAGTTATGAAGAAACCTTAAGAAAATAGGTTTTAGCACTCTTGACAAACCAGAAATTGTAAAAATGAATGCATTTGGTGGTAGGATTTGTTTACTTTTTAATGATATACAAATCTAGTTTAAATAAAAACGGGGAAAATGTAGCTCTTTTACCTAAATGGTTTAAGATCAGATAAGTTTTAAATGTTAATTTTTATGTATTTTTTAACTTTTAAAAATTTTATTCCTCTCTTTATTGTAGGAGCCGTGGTGTCACAATGGATATAGCTCAAACCAGATTTGAGACTGACAACAGGATAGTTACCCTGCTAGATGCACCAGGACATAAAGATTTTATTCCCAATATGATAACAGGTATAGAATAAAAGCAATTTACAGATCAAAGACACGTCACAGGACCATTTTAATCCAGATAATTCTTTCAATAAAAATGCCAAATATTTGTTAAATTTATGTTATTGCATTTTGATACTGAAAATACTGAAGTTAATGTTAAAATGTAGATTATTGTATTTTGATTTCTTTAAATTGACTCATATATTTGAAATACATGTCAAGTTTTATTGGGAGCCCGGATTAAGGGTTTTTTAGAAAAGTTAAATATATTTCTCTATGCTGATGTATAAAATATGAAAATTTTCTTGAAAATTCTTCCTTTTTCTCTTAAATCTAGCTTTTCCATAATCATTTTGTTAATTATATTTTCCCAGTCTTGTCTAGGTTTTTACTTGTCATTCTGAATCATTTAGGTGCTGCTCAAGCTGATGTAGCAATTATGGTTGTGAATGCCACCAAAGGAGAGTTTGAAACTGGCTTTGAAGCTGGTGGTCAAACCAGAGAACATGCCCTTTTAGTCAGGTCTTTAGGTAAGTCACCATACATCAAGAGGCCAAAATAAGATTATGTTTATCAACAATTATAGTACTTAACACATTTTTTTTTAGATTTAGTAGAAATTGTTTCATGACCTGCTTGATATTATGATATAAGCAGTAATTTAGTTTACACTTACAATTTACTTGGAATCTTGGTACCCTCTCATGTCTACACATGCATACTGTATGTCCTTTTATCATTGAATGCACTTTTACATTTATTGCAAAAACAGAAAAGAATCGGTCATTTATTTTGAACTTTTGATTAAATACTTTAGAAGACTTTCCATCTAAATTATCCACATTTGTTTTCAATCAGGCGTATCGCAGCTTGCTGTAGTGGTCAACAAAATGGACACAATTGAATGGTCAAGGAAAAGATTTGATGAAGTAACCCAGAAGATGAAACAATTTCTGAAACAGGCAGGGTTTAAAGAGGCTGAATTGAGCTTTATTCCCTGCAGTGGTCTTGGAGGTGAAAACCTAACCAGGGTAACAGAGGCTAAGCTCCAGGAATGGTACAAGGGTCCCACATTATTAGAACAGATAGGTGAGGAATGTGACACATCANAATGATATACAAATCTAGTTTAAATGAAAACAGGGAAAATGTAGCTCTTTTACCTAAATGGTTTAAGATCAGATAAGTTTTAAATGTCAATTTTTATGTATTTTTAAACTTTATTTAATTTTATTCCTCTCTTTATTGTAGGAGCCGTGGTGTCACAATGGATATAGCTCAAACCAGATTTGAGACTGACAACAGGATAGTTACCCTGCTAGATGCACCAGGACATAAAGATTTTATTCCCAATATGATAACAGGTATAGAATAAAAGCAATTTACAGATCAAAGACACGTCACAGGACCATTTTAATCCAGATAATTCTTTCAATAAAAATGCCAAATATTTGTTAAATTTATGTTATTGCATTTTGATACTGAAAATACTGAAGTTAATGTTAAAATGTAGATTATTGTATTTTGATTTCTTTAAATTGACTCATATATTTAAAATACGTCAAGTTTTATTGGGAGCCCGGCTTAAGGGTTTTTTAGGAAAGTTAAATATATTTCTCTATGCTGATGTATAAAATATGAAAATTTTCTTGAAAATTCTTCCTTTTTCTCTTAAATCTAGCTTTTCCATAATCATTTTGTTAATTATATTTTCCCAGTCTTGTCTAGGTTTTTACTTGTCATTCTGAATCATTTAGGTGCTGCTCAAGCTGATGTAGCAATTATGGTTGTGAATGCCACCAAAGGAGAGTTTGAAACTGGCTTTGAAGCTGGTGGTCAAACCAGAGAACATGCCCTTTTAGTCAGGTCTTTAGGTAAGTCACCATATATCAAGAGGCCAAAATAAGATTGTGTTTATCAACAATTATTGTACTGAACACTTTTTTTTTTCTATTTTTTTTTTTTTTTTTTTTTTTTTTAG